CGCAGCAATTACCCTGATATGCGCACTGGGCAAGTTAGCGATTACAGTTAGTTTAGAGATTTTTGCACGTTAGGGCTAGGTTCAAGAAAGATTAGGGTTATTGTCAAGGTTACATACATAGAATGTGGTTAAATTACTCTGTTGATACGAGAATAAAACTTGTGCACTGTGGTAGAATATAAATCCATTGTGGGTAAAATTTATTTTGATAAAGTTTCACAATGTTATACAGTAATATTTACAGATGAAGTTTCGAGCACAATTTATTACTCTATAGATTTTACTGTATTATCAAAATAAATTTTGCCCATAATGGAGATATGCTTTGTTGATGCTCCAACCTAAAACTGGGAGCCATTTTTATCACATATGGAGGAAGGTATCCTCTGTAACACTTTTCCACGGTTTCATGCATCGTTTTCATAAATATATGTATTCCATACACAAAAATGCCTCCTCCACGTGATTGGTTTGTTCGAGGTCATTGGCTGATTGGTAGTTAGTAGTGCTTAAATTTTAACTTTGCCGAACGAAACAAAAAATACTTCAATCAAAATTTGACTGCCTGATGTAATGCACTGTGAGCTACCTTATGAATCGGTTTTTTCATTTTGCCCGCTGTTCCCAGCCGTTTAACTTGCATGTTGGTTGATATTTTACTTTGTTAATGTCATTTTTTAAATCAATTCACACTAAATTTGCAAAATATGCAGTCTTAAATTGCAGAGCCTCTGATATTCCTAGGTGGAATATCTGTGTTAGCGTTAAGTTACCTGACTGCGGTACACTTTTGGCATGCTAGTTGCAAGTGTTAATGCCTCCAATGGGCCTGTGAAATACTGCTATAATGAGTAGGATGAAGTAATTGGAGGGTAACGTCACCTACTTGAATAGTCTAATTTGTGTAAAAAGCTGCTTTTTTTGGCACAGTGCCATTTCACTATGAATACATATCTCAGCATATCCATACAACCCGTCTTCCTGTAAAACATTGTTTGATAGGTGGGTGCTATCGCTACATGGAAATCACCTACATATAATAACAGGGCCTTTAAAATAACAGAAATTATATTGTAGATGCGTTTTTCAAAGCATGTGTGTACAAGCAGAAATTATCGTGAGTTCAAAGGCTATCCATAGGTGGATTGAATATACAATTGTACCGATTGATGTAATGTCAGCTGTGTGGAATGAATGTGTGAGGGATTTTCCCAACCACTATTATAGTGCCACTGTCTGCTAAGTTGATTGCCAGGCTACTACTGGCCTTTAACCACAGTCCCCAGGAGCAGTCAACTATAGTCCTTCAACAGAAGTATAAAACCTGGGATAAAGCTGGAGAGCATATCCGATGCTGCGAAGGCCGACCCTGAACCCAGAGGAAGCTGCAGGCTGAGGTAACAGTAAGTCCCCATGCCTCAGTGACACTACAGAGGTGCAATACTGATAATGGCAACCAGTGTCACCCATAGTCCTAACCGAATCCGAGGAAAAAACAACAATAGGCTGGTTCCATCGGAGTTGGCCAGTTAGTTCTAATGTTAAATCCTCCACCAGCAGCCTATATAGCGCCAACCACCCAACAACACACTGAGTTAGGGAGATTCACTATCAGCTGCCTATATAGCAATGTTAGGGGGCTGGGGGGAGAAACAGGTGAACTCAGAAACCTCCAGTCACATCTACACCTCAAAATAATAATCCTGATTGAAAACTGGTTAGCCCATACTGTCGCTGACAATGAGATGACTACAGGTGATGTGATTCTGGTCAGGAGAGGCATGGAAAATAAGGGAGGGGAAGAGCTGCCATATACTTTGACAAGCAACTCAGATACGTACGTGCAACGGACCCACCAATCACTGAACCTTGACTTTCTACACGGTATCTTTTCTCCGTATGCCACACAAAGCACTTACTGGGCAGAACCTACTGGTAACCAACCTGTGGGGCGAAGCACAACCAGCTAAAGCTCAGCGCCATCACAGGAATACTGGACTTGGGCTGTGACCAAGTCACTATAGCTGGAGACATCAGTGATTCATCTCATCACCCTGGCCTGGAGTATGCTCAAGGAAAATTCGATCGAACCTGCCACACCATTAGAAATTCAAGGCTGACTGAGAACATTGGAGACGATACTAAGTGAGGCCTTGTTGGAAAGTCATCGAAACTAGTAGATGTCCTAATTAGTGACCAGTTTCTAGTCGAAAATGTTCAAGTCATGAGCCCCCTAGGAAGCAGTGACCACACAGTCATTTAGTTTGATCTTGTTCCTCGTAGGCGCTTACAGTTGGACACTACGCAACCATGTCTGTGCTGTAGCATGGTTGATTATGTCGGAATGCAGAGATGCAGAATGGCGTACAGACTGGTCTGAGTTATCCGTAGGCGAACACTGGGAAGTAGTAAGAGAGATCATTTACACAGAAATCTCAGATACCGTCCCTCTAGTCCTACTACAATCTAAGGAACGATCCCCAGTGCTTAGAAGTGGCGCGCAGCATATTCTTAAAGCAAAGTGAATAGCTTGATCTACATGGAGACTCTCCCCGAGTCAGACTGACCATAAATCATACCTTTAATTCATGAAAGAAATCCCCTGGCAAACCCCAAAAGCATTTACCTCTTCACGTTTGAGAGAAAACCTGAGAACCAAGGGGCATGCGCCTTGCTACATCCAAACGGTCAATCTCTTACTAGTTTGGATATGGCTGAAACGTTCACTTCAGCCTTTGACAGACAGCTAAACAGCAATAAGAGTATTACCGGTATAGGCGATGAGGACTGCACTGCTATTGTAAAATAAGAGAACCCAGTGGCCACGCCCTAAATCAACCCCGCAACGGTACTAGGGAAGTCACAGGAATTCATGTCTGGAAAGTCCCCAGGTTGTGGTGATAGTGCACTGAGGCTCCTTGTAGGCCCTTATGTGACCGTTCCCACACTTCATGGGTTCAGGGAGACTGCCAGGGAAGTGGAGGAGAGTCTTCCTTTATCCTATTTTCAAGGGTGAGGATAGGAAAAATGCCACGAGTTAAACACCAGTAGGTATCAGAAGTACTTGAAAGTCTGCTTGATGACCACATCAGACAACACCTCGACAGGGATTACATACTCCGTGAAGCACAACATAGTTTCAGGAGAGGCAGATGCCGTGTGAGAAACCTACTACCGGCTTGGAATGATTGGACATTATGCTGTGATATGAATGTTCCTGTCTATGGGATCTTCCTAGACTTTGAGGGGATATTTGACACAGCTCTCCATGACATTCTCATATACCAAATAAATCAGATAGGTAAAGGTGGTCCGCTTCTGTCATGGTTGGAGGACTAACTGAACGAGAGGGAATTCTGCACCAGGGTCACTAGTGTCAAATCATCCTGGCACAGTTCTCCATTGAAGGAGTCACAGGGTTCTGCTCTAGGGCCACTGATTTTTTAAATTTTCGCCAAAACCTGCCATGCCGAATAAATTGCCCGGCTTATTTTACTCTGGCAACATAAAGATTGATTGGGCACGGTATGAATTTCCACATGAAAAATGCAAAGTAGTGTAAATACGCACATTTAGGTTGCAGAATGTAAGTTACTCCCTGTGTGACGATAACTTAGGTCTGGTTCTAATGAAAAATTGGACACAAGCGTGAATTACACGGGAGATGTAGCTATGGCGTACGTGGTTATTCACTTTAGCCATAGACAATTGATTGCGCTCGCTCCTGGGATTTCTCGAAGGTTGTACAAAACATACTTAAGATCACACCTTGAAGTGCACAATATCACTGGTTCTCCGATAATTAGGAAAGACACTAACCTTTTGGGAAGAGTTCAAATACTGGAGACAAAAGGACTGATGGGTTTCCGTAATAAATCAAACCATAGATGGCCAAAGTCATTTCCGCGCTTCACCTCCGTTGGCTTAAGGCTGACTTTACTACTGTATGTAGGATTGGAAGTTACCGTGATAACCCAAGCGAAGGTATTTTGCCATTAAGCACTTACGGACTTCCTCGCGGGAATCCATGAAGAGAGAGCAAAGACCCGAGTGCTCTCCTATTTGCTTTCACTTAACATTTTCGGTCCCTGGAACTCTTCAACAGGACACATGGTTACTTCACCGTCAGTGGGCAGCTTAAAGCAGAGGCTAGACAACCATGCAGACATACAGGGACTGAGTTCAAACGGCTTGTCCCCTTAACGCCCACGCACTATTAATGGGTACCCCCCTAAACTCGTCTTTTTACTTCTCCAAATTCTCCCTTGTCTTACCCTTCCGAATACTCCAACGGTTAATTCCCTTGTTATTACTGATATGTATGCATATAATAAGTTCAAGTCTCAGTAGCTGTTTTTACATTTTTCTTTTTAGGTAAATACATAATCTACACCAATTTTATCCATTATTACTATTGTCATCTTTTTTCGACCACATTGTACGACTAACGAGTGAAAGGATCAGAGTGGCCGCAGGGTGTTAACATACTGTATAGTACAAACCGCATACAATAAATCCCAGCACAACTACTTTCGCAACTAATCAAAGCTACGATAGTCAATTGGTGAACTTTAAGAGGCTGAAAGTATTGATGTTCGTTGATTGTGCGGAGTATACTAACGCAAGATATAAAATGCCAGCAAATTCTATAGTATTCGTTCCGCGTAGACCAAAGGCAAAGCAAAACCAGAATTGATCGTCCAAATTACGAGATATATTTCGGGACCAAATCAGGGTGCGAGATGATTGCTTAACTAGCTAGTGATCGTACACGAACGAACGGTCGTGACATGACGGCGTATCGAATGGCATGGATGCTTGACCGGAAACCTTCAGCTTAACAAGTCGAGTTAAACAGTTAGGGTCAGCATCCAATGTTCAGTGACGATTGCTGTGGCCAATAATTTTGGGGAATTATTTCCCACTACAAACTACTCATAAGTTTAGCGAACACCAGGAACCTTATCCTTATCAACTGAGGAATCAATTTGGTTGACACTCGCTCGTGAAAATGATATTGGATGATTAATGTTGTTTAGGTGTATACACGTTGAGAGCGCAGTATATGTATTTCTTTACGCGCGGTTACTTGACCAGTCGTAAAGTAATGGCAGTTGTAAAGGTACTAAGCGTACTGATTTTTGTGTCTGTGTTTTATTTTGGGTTAACTCGAAGCGAAGCGAATGGACCAAAAGTGACGGATAAAGTAATTCCAAGCTTCCGATAATCATAAACTTTAGGTGTTTTTCGATATTGAGATTGATGGGAAGCCGCTAGGTAGAATAGTCATTGGATTGTTTGGCGGGACAGTGCCAAAAACAGTTGAAAATTTCAAGAAAATTGCTATTGGTACTAATCTAGTAAGTGTACTCAAGTAAAATAGTACGTGTGTGCTTAGGCCGATGGTCGATCTGCTTCATACAAGGGAAGTGGTTTTCATCGTGTTATTCGGTCTTTCATGATACAAGGTGGTGACTTCACCAACCATGATGGAACTGGAGGTAATCTTAGATTTTTCTGATGTCTTCAGGATTCAGCATATATGGTGACAAATTCCCAGACGAAAACTTCAAGTTAAAGCACATGGGTGCTGGTTGGGTGTCAATGGCTAACGCTGGTAAGTTTTCCCTTTATTGAGATGAAACTTTCTAAGGTCCTGACACAAATGGGAGTCAGTTCTTTATTACGACCGTGAGAACTTCATGGTTAGATGGAAAACATGTTGTTTTCGGCAAAGTTGTTGAGGGGATGGTAAGCTTGTCAAACGTTTTAAAAGTTATTTTGTAGAGTGTTGTTAAACAGATTGAAGCAACCCAAACGGACTCTCGTGATAGGCCTGTAAAAAGCATCAAGATCGCAGAATGCGGTCATATTCCCGTTGACGTACCATTCGCGGTAGATAACGGTGATGCAACCGAATGAAAACTTTGTACTTTCTTTCATTTATGTATATGGTTAATATAGTTTTTTTTAAAGGTTTTTAAAAAGTCTGATCTAGATTGAGAAGAATATTTCCCATTTAACTTGTAATTTGCGCTGTACTGTCAGCCAGTGTGTTCGGGGTCGTAGTTTCTCACCACTTATTTCAATATGGAGGACTGGGTAGCGTCGTCAGTCCTCACAATGTGACCAGTAGACATGATTCTAAGTAACCTGTGGGGTTTTTGATTACAAGGAGTTCCTGTCTATTCATAAATGACGTCGAGTTAAATAATAATCCAGCAACGTATATCTAAAGATACTAACGTCCATGGGTTTTTTAATTTTAGGTGAGGTTGCGGGTGGGAGCAACTTGGACAAAATAAATTTTTCGCGTAGGATGTGAAATGTTGAAATATTTGAACCAGAAACAAATCTATACGCTGAGGTTTTTCAATAGTGACAATACTGTTTTTTACTATCAATTGATTAGGTGAGCAGGATAGTATGATGACAGTGATGAGCAATGTTTAGTCTCTGAAGGAGAGCAATGTCTTGGTACTATTTCCCTTAATTATTCGACTAGAGCTGTGGCACGGTACTTTAAGCACGGCTTGCAACCAGCATACACTTCACACTTTTCGTTGGACTTTGAATACCAGATGGTGTCTTTAGCCCCTACACAAATTACACATGGTTAATCGGTAACATGTAACATTTTATAAGTCGGTGTGACTCTTGTAAGCTAAATTAGTCATGAATTGTAACTGTTATATGCTACTTTTTAAGGTAAATACACTGTAGCTTTAGAAAATCACATCAACTTGTGCAGTTATGTTTTTAGGAAGTAATAGATTTATGCTTTTCATAAACTTCATCACCATACAGTTATCCTGTTCAGATTAGCAGACGAAATCTCAAAAAACAGTTACAAGAACGACTAGCACTTACACCAGTCAGTCACGTTCCCTGAATGCAATAGCTAGTGACTAAAAGCGTCATCATTGTAACGCGGTTTACACTCATGGGATGTGCATCCTGCCCAAACGTTTGAGAATTACTTTTATGCATAGTATTCAGAAAGGACATGCAGACGGACAGCTTACATATATGTGTATGAGATAAATAACATATTTCCTCAGAGGAAATAAGTTAGGTAATCAGGTATGATGTCACCAACAAAAGTTTAACCGACTACACCTTAAGACAATGCTTAGAGAACGGTTTGCACAGATTGTAATGATATTTTCTTTCACTGAATAGTTGAGTACCTCATTTGATCTTGAAAAATAAATAAAACTAAACCTGACTAAGTTTTCTCATGGTAGTTCAATGCGGGGTGAGTACTAGGCGTCGTATGCAGCTTGTGCTTCATTTGGTTCCTTTTCATCCTATTGCTTTCTAAGGTTGGTATACCTTGGTTGTGAAGCGTTTATCTGCATTCTAAGCAACATCCTTAGGGATATATACAGGGGATTTTTAAGTAAGCTAAGCAACTCCAGTAGAGCAACAATACAAAAATCTTCCACAATCTTAAATCAACACAAGGGGTTATAAGACAAGATGTTATAGACGAGATGACAAGTCTCAGCACTACTATGCATGGTTATCTGTTGACTATTGAACACTTGTCTAATTCTATGAAGGTGTGACGTGCATGTCCGAGGGTATTATTCCCAGTTTCTTATATTCCGGCGAACTTAATTTCTTTTTCCTCATCTGTAACTTTTTACAAATATTTATCTCGGTAGTAGCACCTTTGTGGCTTTTGTTTCTCTGCTTAGCAGGATTTCCATCGAATAGACACTCATCTATGCTGATCCATATCTTGAGAAATAATTGACATACTGTCAGATTCCATATTTTCGTACGTAATTTGTAATTACGTACCCTTTCCTGTTCCTAGGGTCTGCTGTTATATATATATATATATATATATATATATATATTTATATATAGCACCTCAGTCGATATGGATGTGCAGTGAAAATGTATTTCTCTTAAGTAAAGCCCAGAATAAACCAAGTAGAATTTAGTACGTTTTGCACTCGAAATAGACAGTGAAAATTTCAATTAACTAGAGGCTGGTAGACTGAAATGTTACTTACTTACTATAGTGGAATTGACACATTGCATCCAAATTAAGGTTGTTTCCTCCAAGACATACCGGAGCAAAGATATTTAACTTAGGCACGGAAAATGCAGACTATGCTGTGTTTATCCAGTATTTGAGCAGCTTAAAGGATTATTTTTTTCACTTAGCATAATTGTTCCAAATATGACGATGTTTCTGGGAGACAACATTAGAAAGCACATACTGCATCAAACTTGAATATTTCCAACGACCTTTAAGTATATTTTACCACTTCTCTTATATGGTGAAAGTAACCGACATTTCTGCTCAATTTTAAAAGTGTAAGGAAGTGTTAGGATGGGCAAGCTTCTTTGTTAGCCGCGAAATCACGATCTATGCATGTACTGACATGACAACTTTATTGGATAGTCTTGATTCGTTTATTTATGGCTTAAATTACTGAGTTCAGATATGTTTATTTATGCCTTGAATTTTTTCTGTAAATATTATATGTACCTCGTATTTTGTGTAATAAACATTGTTGTTCCGGTCGTCGTTTTTCCAGTGTAACTTTTGTGTCTATCTAATTATGGGAGATAATTTTACGTGATCAGCTGGTTACAGTGCCGTGGGAGGGGGCATTCTAGTCAATTTAGCCGAACCGAGTGTCACCACGTCACAACAAATAGATGAACGGTATTTTATCTTCTTGAAGTTTGATAAAAAGTGATGAAGAGAATGGTTTAAGAAAACAAAATATTCTGTTTCTCCTTTTTATACAACAATACTAGGATAAATAAAAGCATTAATACATAAATTATATCGCTACACTTGTGTGTATGCATCCTTGTATATTAATGTATTTGGTTATAACTTTAAGAGACAAGTAGAAATGACTCAAGTCAGTCAAAACAAAAAGCAAAGTAAATAGTTAAAAATGAAATTGTAATGAGTCGGAAGTATATTGGCTGATAGACTTAGGAGTCATGTTTATTTCTTCTTTTTCTTGTGTTTATTCTTATTCTTTTTCGGTTTATCTTTGGATAAAGTAGCTTCTGTATGCTTAGCATTATCATGAACATTAGTGGCAGGTTCGGTTGAATTATCAGGTGATTCAGACTTCTTTGTATCAACTAATGGTTGAGGATCAGAATTTGGTATCACATTGCTCACTACTGATTGATTTGAATGCTCAACATCATTTACATTTTGCTTAGCTTCTGTTAGGTTTATATTTGACTCAATTTTAGCATCTGTTTTAATATGAGAAGAAGCACACAAGGTGCTATTGTCAAATGATACCGAGGTATTTTTTATGTCATTTTGCATGACAGTAGTGTCATGAACATCTTGAGAAACAGTATCTCTTGGTGCGTGAATGTTGCGTTTGTCGTCAGTATCGCTATGTTGACTCATTGATGTTATGGATTGCAATTTAGCAGACTGTTCAAGTTCTGCAGAAGTGCCAGAATTTTCTGGAAGATTTGGTGTGAGAGGAGAATGAGAAATAGGCTCAGGATTTTGAGGCACTGATGTCAGTTGAGTGTCTGACTCTAACTTCACAGTGCTGAATGCGTTGACGTCACTTAAATTCAGTTGACCAATCTGCATTTGTTCTGAATCTAAAAGACTTTGAGGAATCTGAGTGAGAACTGAACCCCAATCATTGTTGTTTGCTTTCTCCCCCAGTTCAGTATTCGATACAGTCTTTTTATTCTTGGACATTTCTTGAGATTTAATTTCCGTATGATCAGGACTTTCCGACGTATGAATTGCTTCTTTCTTACTCGATTTTACACTTGGCCATCCGCTCCCCACGAAAAGACCATGATGAGACGGTTCAGTTGATCCGGAATTTACCACCTCACTATTGTCTTTTGTTGTGCACTTATTAGATGGCGCATGATTACTTTTCACTTTGGGTGAACCAGTGTCAAGATATTGACTCATTTCGGCTTCGAAATGTGGTTGATTAAGCTGGGCTAAAAGGGAAGCCCATTCAGGGCGTTCTTGGTCACTTACGTGAAGACTTCCAGATTTCTGAGTACTGGATAGTGCTGGTTCCGAAGGAAGATGAGATTTACTCGAAGAATGATTACGTTCTGGTGCACAACTATGAGAATTATTAGGTTTCGATTCTTTTTTATTTCCATTTGGCCATCCATCTCCAACGAAAAGGCCATGGTGCGGGAGATTTTCTTTTGGTTTTATATTAGACAAGAGTGACGGCCATTCTGACAAATTGTCGATTGGACTATTGCTGTTATCAAGAACAGCGGATTTTTTATCCGATGTGATATTATTTGAGGATTTTGAATAAGTCTCTTCATCTTTTAATATGGATTGACTAGGCTCAGGACTAACACCAGAGAGCTGATGAACATTATCGGCTTCAGCATAAGGAGATGGAGAGTTGTTTGCATTCAGACGACTACCAATATTATCTTCATGATCAGCATCATATCCTGAAATACTACTTCTGGTGTCTATGTCACGTGGTAAATCACTTGATAAACTAGAAGACAGTGTTACTGAATTCTGCATACTAAGTATTTTTTCTCGTTCCTCCTGCTCCTTATAGCGTTTTCGAATAGCTTTACCACAGTCTGTCCAGTTAAGAGGTTTCTTCCCAGTATGAATGGTACATTTATCTTTTGATGACAGAGAACTTTTGGATGCATTAGATTGTGTTTCACTGTCATGAATAGTGTGATGTTGTGTATCGCTAACACGAGCTTCTTGCTCTATTGATTCTTTGCTAATTTCATCAAAACTCAAGTTATCTTTAGCAAGTGAATGTAATAAATTATCAGGATGTTTGTTTGTTGAGGGCTGCGGTGTTGTTGTTGCTGTTCGTTTTTCAGCTATGATAAAATTAAAGAAGTTAACAGGTGTAAACAAGTGAAAAAAACAATATGAAAATCATTAAAACACTCACCAAAACTGTAGAACGTAAAATTGCACCTTAGAACACCCAATTCTCAAAATGTTTGTTAGCAGGTCTGAATTTTAGACCACTTACCTTTAGGTGTAGACATTACAGTATAATACGTATACCCTACAACTTTCATACACCTATCAAATTAGGTTGTCATACTATAGAGAGAGAGAGTAAGACTGAAGAGGACAGATCCCTAATGATTATTAGTGCATCACATTTAACATTGATAAAATAATAAGCCTTGTATTCATTCCACTATTCGCAAAAGTGTCAACCTTTCTATATCAGAGATACTTTGTGCTTTATTGTCTGTCGCTTGTTCGTAGAATTGCAAACCTCTTTTCCGTGTTTTTAAGTTACATAAAAATAAGCCATCAGTGTTTTTCTCGAAGATGTCCCACTATATTATTGTTAATATCTGTTATTATATAGATCGGACACACTACAAATTGTAACTGTGTGAAATCAAATGTTCCTGAGATGATTTTTATTAGTTTACGCAGCACAGAGTATATATTTGTTTTTGTTGTTACCTTAGAATGAATTGGAAAATGGTTGATGGGTGAAATCACTACATGAATGAAATAAAGGGTGTGGTTAAAGAACCTGTTAATATGCATAAGCAAAGCTTTTAAAACATTTTCAGTTGGTAAAAATAAAACTGAACAAACACTTAATTTGTTTAAGAATAAAACACCTGGGGTTACACAAACATTTTTACATCGATGCAATCTTTGCAAGATATTTACACTGTACATATCGGTGTACTTTTTCTAGTGCGTAATACAGACACTACTGCTATACAAATGTCAAGGTATTCTGTCATTCGATAATTTACTATCTACAGTCAAAAGATGAATACGTTTGAGCAATAAAACTGAAGTGAGGAGTGTTACAGATCAATATGATAGTCTTTTAGATACGTTCTTAATCTCATATGACTGTAATTCCTAATTGCTGACTTTAGTAGACCCAACCAATCGGTCTCTTCAGGCACAAGAACTCGGCTGTTTACACTACAAGTAGCAGTGAAATTCATAACGAGTGGTTCGCTTTACACGTCAAAGAGCAATGGTAATTCCACCTTAAGTGGCCAAGTATGCATATCACGATTATCATTATTGTTCTGCCACTGGAACATAGGACTTCAATAGCACATCTCCATTCTGCCCTATTTTCTGTGGTCCTCTTCCGTTGGCCCCCATGACTGACCATAGTTTCCCATCTCCATGTCACCCTCGTATCTACACCCAACTCGTCGTTTCTCATTAGGATCCCACTCGAGCGGTGGCCTGGCGCGCGATGTCATTCGACAGTCTCCTCAGCGTATGCCCGATCCATCTCCATTTTCTTCTGCTATTAAGCAATGGGTTCTTGGTTGGTTTGTTCCCGTAGTTTCTTGTTGCCAATTCTTTTTGGAGCCAGAGAAGGCAGTTGTTGATGAAAGTCTGCAACCTATTGAAAATGCTTTACGTGACGCTCAGAATACGTTACTAACCCATGTAGAAGCAGCGACTGACTTAATATTGGTAATGAAAATCCGTATTTCGTTCTTTATGCCGAGTGAAGATTTCCAGACTGATTTCATAGTGATGAAGGTGTATCTTGCTTTTCCGATTCTGTCTTTGACTTCTTCATCCGTACCGTCCGCCTGTAGTTGAAATAATGTTTCCTAGATAACTGAAGGAAGTAGCCTCTTTCACGTTTCTCCCTTTAATAATGATTAGTGCATATTGTTGTTCGTTGATTGTCTTCACCTCCGTCTTCTCTATATTCACCTGAAGTCCTGTCTTCTCTGCTTCTTCATTCAGTTTGTTGGTTTTCGCTTGCAAGTCTTCGAGCTTGTGTGACATTAGACATATATCATCTGCGAAATCCAGATCTTTTAGAGTCTTCTGATCGGTCGTCCAGCATACTCCTGTCTCCTCGCTCCCCACAGTCTGACGCATAATCCAATCACACGATTAAGAATATCATCGGTGATAATAGACAGCCAGTGTTGTCTTCTGTATTCACTTAGAACGCCTCGCTGAGTTTTCCGTTGTGGATCACCTGACACATGGCATTGTCATATAGCTGTTGAATGAGGTTGATAAATACTTAGGGCATTACATTCCGTAGTGTCGAAGTAGTTTCCAAATTACCTCTCGGTTAACGCTGTCGAAGGCCTTTTCAAAGTCGATGAAATTGACTGCCATTCTATGCTTTGTTCTGTGGCGATGCGTAGAGTTTCAATTTGATAAACACATGATTTGCCTTTCCTGAATCCAGCTTGTTCTGGATGGTATATATATATATTAATAAAACATACTATCATTGTTCAACGTCCTCGTGCTACTCTAGGGATAAGTAAGTACTTTAGAACTTTTCTTATGCACTGAAGGGGTAACTAATTTCTTTATAAGATGCTCTTTTTCTTACTTCATTTCACAAATACCAAACTAACAACTACTTCATTAACACTTAGATCGTATTGTAGAGACTATTTTACTAGGAGTGCATTCCATAACCTGGAAATATATTTACAGCCTGATTAATCAAGCCTCTACTACCAGTCAGGTGCTTGTCAGGTGAACGCAACATAATCTTATGAATTGTCAATCAAAAACAAAATTTTAGATTCTTTATAATACATGAGATAACTATGAAACTAAGCTATCCTTGTAAAACAGTTTAATCTGTGAAACATCATTTAATAACATAGTTGTGCACAAGCAAAAATAACATCATAGACGTTAGTATTGTTTTTTGTCTTTCAATATCATTTATGATTGATGAAACAACCTCGATATGTAAGTCAATTAGTTCGCATTAAATGAATGAGTGAAGTAACTTAAAAATTACTAATGTGTTTTTCATAGTCCTCTAAAAGCCTCCATTCAGCAGGTTTAATGTACATTCATCTGTAATCTTAATTCACAGCTAATCATCCAATACTTAAGTTAATTATTGACTTAATTCTCTAATTGACTGTTAATCCTGAATTTTCACTTTACTCTAAACTATAACCAGATAGCCATTAACGGCACTAACTTTAACATATCCAAAAGTTTTTCACTTTCTGTCTTACTCGCGACTCATCAACTGCGGATGTATCTTCATCCCTAGTGACTAGTGTTCCCACTACCCCAAAAGTTATTATCCACTGGGCCACATTTTGAAAGTTATAGGAAAGAATCAAATTAAAAATTTTTTGTGGTAAAAAAGAAACAAGGGAGATGACTATGTCGTTATCAACCCTTTGGAAGTAGAAGAATAAAACGTTGTTGTCACGGTTATTGCAGTTAAGTCTAACTTCTGTTTCTATCTCAGTCTTGGGGAATATTTTTCCATGTAAACAGTTGGTTAGATTGTTGTGTTCGGAAGCGCAATCTAGTTAAAATGGACAACAATCAACAAATCAGTCATACTGAGTTATAACGGTGGTTATATAAACCCTTTGAAAGTAGACACCTCGTGTCGAAAGTCTTATTTAACGGGGATGCTACTGGGTTATATATAGTTGCAAATATCAGTTTGATGAAAAGTGAAAATCGATATTTTTTGTTATTAGTCAATAATGGGCTAATGAAGTCAATTAGGTTGGGGAGGGGAAAGGAGGAAATAAGCACTTTTTTGACTTACGCGTTATTGAGCCTGTATATAACAAAGTGGGTTACAGAAGTAAAAAACTGCCGGTTGAAAGATATCAGCATATCATAATTCAAAACAAAAATCTTTCTTGTTCATAAGATAAATGTAATTTAGTTCCCTAATAATCGTTCCACTTATCTAATATATAATACATCCTTTTGTATGACAGAACAATAAATTACGTTAATTGAAGATTGATTTAAATCTCAATACTCGACTGTAACAATGAAGCTGGGTTAAATCGTCAATTTTTGCTTCATAATCACATCTGGAGATATTCAGATAAGAACTGATTTAATGCTGTGACTACCTGTTATCTACTTCTTCCCTGGAAGATAAATCTTTAAACCAGTTTCATATATAAAAGACTTTCTTGTTGTATTTTCAACATACGCAGCAAATTTGTTGTGTTAATGTAAGTTCTTCAAAAAAGAGAAAGTAGTAGTGATCCTTGAACAATGACTGCGACTGAGATCACTTGGGTGATATTAGGGCGTAGTTGGGTGGAATTGCATTTCACTAACCCCAGTTATAGTCTAATTTGTTATTCATAAAAATATATTAACCAACACTTGGCTATGACTAATAACTAGTTGGCGTATGATTATCACAAAATGCATTTTTGCTTGTCTTTCATTCAACCAGTCACTCACTACAGTGTGGGTGCATCTCTAGCTGTAGAATTCTGCAGTTGGTATGACAATCCTGGACTGATACTTTTCCTTTTTTATTGAAAGTGTTGATTGAAACTACAACTTAATGATAGACCTACGATATTGTCCTAGTTGATTCTCTGTCTGTCTGGATTCAACATAGAACTTGGCACCGAAGTGCAGCAGTTCGAGTTGCCACGTTCCAAATAGCACACAAAGGTAGACAGGAAAATGAGTGAAGAGAATCAATAGAGTTTTGACAAGTACCCGACCGAAAGCTGCTACCTTGACGTGGTGGTCGGGCTTAAACACCGCAATGACCCAACAAGCTATACTGGCTGAGACTTATGTCGCTTGAGGTCCTACCATGTCAGAAAGGTTGTTTGGATAGCGGTTAGACAAAAAGCAGTTACCCAACCCAATGCTATGACTCAAAGTAAATCACAAAATATCATACCGGATCGGTCGGGGCCCGGATTAACAACGACCGCGCTTCCTGCTGCCGTGTCACAGGGCAGAAGTGATAAATATGCTACTGAGACACACCAAATAAAAAAGAACAAACAAAAACAGGCCGCGTGTGACCGGCCTCAAGCAGTTGTCCCCTGGGCTCTGCGGTCACGCAACTAACTTCTACGGTGTGGGCAGCCGGGAAGTAACAATCGCCCTCACAATCCGAAGTGCACGCGAAACGTCTCTAATCCTCACTCATCTTTGTCTCCATCTTCATCTAGTTGATTCTCATCTCACATAAGTATTTAGTCAAACTGTACACATATAGCTTTCGACTAAGGTGTCGATTTACGCTCACAGGATATGGAATGTTGTTTTTCACGATCTTAAATCTAGGGTACCTAATTCATTCAAGCCTTACAGGATCACAGAATCAACCCTACACTTAAGTCACAACATGCCGAATCACCGACTAATGGAAACTACCTACAGGAGTTATTTGCAACAATTTGGTTGAGGAAAGTAGAAATAAAGACTTCGGCAATACTTTTTCCCCTTTCAACCATGGAAACACATCAGTCACCCAAATAAAATATATATTACTTTTTTGTGACAAACGCGATGCATGCTGGAGAAGATTTGTACCTCAGGTGGATGATAGTGGTGGAGTTGCATTCTTTTTCTTTTTAAAGTTGGATGGTTTATTTACCTAAGGGGCTTGATGTTGCCTTTATGGACAACATCTTCAGCTCAATACAACGGTAGGAAACATGCCATTGCACGCGTGTGTGTATGCAAAGCCATTTACATCATGCTCGTTTAAGTTACATCCATGATATCTCTGCTGGTTATAAAAACAATCCCATATATAAAGCATTCTAAGTATAATTTCACAAACATTCTGATTAAGGTAACAAAGGTAAAGCTAATTAAATAATTCAACACAATATGCATTCTCGACCTAGTTAATTAGTGTATACACGAATAGAGTAACGTTCATAAAGGGTGTGAATACACACTTTGTAAGTCGATGTGCACAGAGGTATTAATTATCGATAGTAAAACGATATTGTTAGTATGTGTGTGTGTACATTTATATATGAAAATTGTTAGACAAAAGAAGTTAAAATGAATCATTAGGTAGGTAGAGAGAGAGAGACCAAAACACTACAAACACATGCACAAGTTAAGTTAAAGTGAAGACATGCTTTATCACATAACAGCATAACATAGATATTATAAATTGAATCGATGATAGAAAAGCATTCATTTCGGCAGACAATGAAAAGTTGAATTGATATAACAAAAAAAAAATCAATAAATGTAAACCTTTAAAAGTATTAGGCAAACGAGATATATGTGTATGTATAAATGAAGGAAATAAATGTTTTTTGTAAGTCTAACAGAATGATACTAATAGTTCATGCGAAATAATAATAACAACATCCACGAGATAACCAACTATATACACACACACACAAATAGGCTACAGATATTATAACAGATTCCTAAGGCACATCAAAAGGTTGTTAGTAGTAGAGTAGTAGTTACGGACGAATCTTTCAAAAGTGCAAACACCAATTTTTATAGTAGGAATTAGTTAGTACTGAACGATGAAAGCACCAAAAAACTCGCAGACAATCGGATTATATATACGTCATGTAAATCACAACACCTTGTTTTTGTCCCCCACCAGCCAGTAAGTAAGTAAGTAAAGAAACAAGAGTCAAAATACTCAAGTACCATAAATATTTTTTTATCTTAATACATATAAACGATAATAGTAGTGGTAACAATGATAATACAATATTACAGACAAACACGAAACAGCAGGATTTAACGTTTACCCGTTTCCTGTTGTTCAAATGATGGATATTTTTCTCTTGCATCCTCCCATGATCGAATTCCATTGGCAATATCAGAGACTAATGATGGTAATTCATCCAACTGTAAAGTAAAACAATCAGTTATGAAATAAACATCACGAAAAAACTAAACAACAAAATAAATATGTTTATTTTAGTAAGAGGTGATAAGCTTTAATATTCACCTTTTTTCTTTACCGTCATTTCGGATTGTGAGGGCGATTGTTACTTCCCGGCTGCCCACACCGTGGAAGTGAGTTGCGTGACCGCAGAGCCCAGGGGACAACTGCTTGAGGCCGGTCACACGCAGCCTGTTTTTGTTTGTTCTTTTTTATTTGGTGTGTCTCAGTAGCATATTTATCACTTCTGCCCTGTGACACGGCAGCAGGAAGCGCGGTCGTTGTTAATCCGGGCCCCGACCGATCCGGCATGATATTTTGTGATTTAGTTTGAGTCATAGCATTGAATTGGGTAACTGCTTTTTGTCTAACCGCTATCCAAACAACCTTTCTGGCATGGTAGGACCTCAAGCGACATAAGTCTCAGCCAGTATAGCTTGTTGGGTCATTGCGGTGTTTAAGCCCGACCACCACGTCAAGGTAGCAGCTTTCGGTCGGGTCTTTATCGTAAGCATAACGATCCATCCATCAGATATGTAAATTCTCTGTACACATATTTCTTTTAACCGAATGGCAAAAAAGGCGATATTCTTTCCGTTGTATAGAAACCTAATTTATTACTATTATGAAATGCAACCACTCTATACACGAAAGTATCTCAAATGAGATTGTTTTTTTGAAATAAAGGTCGTATACTAACTGTGCAGTTCTCTGCAAAGACATTAAGCAGAACGCAGAAACCCCTGTTGATAATAATATAATAATAGTGATTACAATAAGTGATGTGATTTATGTATCCCTTAAATGTTATTATGCACTCAAAGTGAATATGTGGGGATTTTAAGATAAAAATCCGGTTGACAAACCCAAGACCCGATGATCCTTTTAACAGGTGACTTACAGAAAAACAACTCTAATAATACTTAGAATGTACTAAGATAGACTACACCAGAACTCTACTTCCAATAAGAATGCGTTCAGACATTGTTCTTACTGTGGTCAAACTAAGATTAAAATTTCTTTTACCCTCTAGGGGTTTCTTTCCTTTATCTCCCGTTTCTCTTGTTTTTTTCGATTTTCTCTTCGTCTAGACAGTTTGTGTCGTAATGTCTTATAATTTATATCCTTCAGTCTAGAATTCTTCATTATTTATTTTATTTCTTTGCATTCCCAGTGGAAAATAGGTCGGTCGGTCGGTCGGTCGGTTTTCGACATAGAACTATGCACATATGTGCGGCAGTTCAAGTCGCCACAATCTATGTAGCACACAAAGCAAGAGAAGAAATGCGTAATATAGACAGTAAACAGAGGTGTGAGACAAAGGAATAATAATAAGGGAGAACAAAAGTTTAATTGGAAATCATAAGTCACAAGGAGTGGATGCATCTGCGCCACTGAGAACGATTTTGAGCCATGTCACCAATTGTTTCCAACCATTGGTTTTTACCATCCCGAGGGCCCCAACCAGGAAGTCTACACCTTCCTACGTGGCTTAGACTAACTGTTGTGGATTTCATTGACTGGTGCCATGTTTTGGTTTGACCGCCGCTAGCTCTTTTCCAGCCTGACCCTATATCAGCTAACATTGCCCGTCGAGGAAGGCGATGACTAGGCATACGTAGCACATGTCCTAACCATCTCAGTCGAAGTAATTTCACAGTCTCGTCGATTGATTTCCCCGCCTTACCTAGCACTCGAAGCCTAACCTCAATATTGCTCACCTTATTGTACCACTTCACGCGGGAGATAGAACGCAGACACCTATGATCGAAGACAGCTAATCTTTTCATGTCTTCTGCTCTCAATGGCCAGGTCTCACAGCCATAAAGGAGGACGGAGCGGACTGTTGAGCAGTACACACGCCCTTTGGTCGATAGTCGGATATCACGTCTACGCCAGAGACGGCGAAAACTGGCGAATGCGAACTTAGCCCTCTGTATTCGTGCTGAAATTTCGTCGGAGATCAACCCGTTGGGGCTGATGGTACTTCCCAAGTAAGTGAAGCGGTCAACGTGTTCTGCCACTTCACTTCCTATTTCTAATCTAGGGGTCGATGAAGTCCAATCCTGCAGCATCATCTTACATTTTATAGGGGCGAATCGCATGCCAAACATGCGGAGATTGTTGCTCAGGGTGTTCAGTAGACTCTGCATTTTGTCAGAGTCCTCGCCTAGAAGGACTATATCGTCTGCATATTCTAAGTCAACGAGATTCTTCCCTGGTAGCAAGTCAATCCCTGAGTCGCTGAAGTGAGTTAGGGTTAAGTCCATTAGTACATCTATGATGAAATTGAATAGGAATGGGGATAATGGGCATCCTTGACGGACGCCACTAGTCGTCACCACTTCAGATGACAACTCGCCATAAGCCCTCACCTGGCTGCATGAGTACGAGTAGAGTGCCTTAATCAGTGCAATGTATTTTCTTGGCATTCCCTTTACAGCCAAGCATCGCCAGAGAACCTCCCGGTCGACAGAATCGAATGCCGCCTTTAGGTCAAGAAATATAATGATTGTCGGACGCCGGTAGGAATGCCTATGTTCTAGAATCTGTCGAAGGGTGAAGATGTGATCAATACACCCTCTACCTGGCCTAAAACCTGCCTGGTTTTCTCGTGTTTGTGTCTCCCGAGCACCACTTAATCTACGCAGTATTATTGAGCCTAGGATTTTAGATACTATATTAGTCAAGCTAATCCCTCTGTGATTATCACAAGACGACTTGTCCCCCTTCTTGTATATCGGGATGATCAGTGACTTACACCAACCCGATGGGACTTCCTCTGATTCCCAGACGCTGCCTAGAACCTCCGTTAACGCAGACAGTAAACTGTCGCCTCCGTACTTAAATACCTCTGGAGTCAATAAATCAGGTCCCGCTGCTTTGCCTAGCTTCAGATTGGTGACAGCTTTAGTAACCTCGGTTAAGGACGGAGGACCTGTGTCTATCTCCCATTCAGGGAGGTGTTGGATGTCCGGTAGGTTAAGTGTGGCTGTGGGCCAATTAAACTGCTCCTCATAGTGTTCTTTCCAGCGCTCCAGACGTCTATCCTGGGAGCTAATTATGGTGCCATTTTTCTCGGAGATTGTTTCGCTTATCATTTGTTTTTTACCACCTGTTTCCCTGATAAGCCTGAATAGTTGTCTGGTGTTGCCTATCGCCGATGCTTTTTCCATCTCTTTCGCCTTTGTCAACCACCACTGTTCACGGTCCTTGCGGAGACTTTTCGTAAGTTTCCTCTTGTGCAGCTTTCGCTCCTCATTGAATTCGGAGCTCGCCGGGATAAGTCTTCCAGCATCTATCAGTTCGGATGAGGCAGTCGAAATCCAGTGGTTTTTACTCACCTTTGGAATTACCTTATTCACAGCTTTTACAGCTGTATCTATGGCTGACTGAATATTCTTCCAGGCTTCTTCAGGGTGAGCGCAGCTGTCAAACTCAGATATGTGTTTAGCTAGTTCTTCCTCAAATAGGGACTTAGTTCCCTGGTCGAGCTGGGGACGTGATGGGTTTACCGCTCGCTGTTTCCTACGTCCGTTCAGTCGTAAGCACACACGAGCGCGGACCAGTGCGTGATCGGTATCTACACACGTGTTCCAGAAGGAGCGACAATCTCCTACCGACCCACGCCAACGATAGCTTATTGCTATGTGGTCTATTTGTGTCCAGCGTTGATTTGATGATGGGGGTCGCCAGGTCAAACAGTGTCTCTCCTTGTGTTTGAAGTTAGTGCTTACAAGATACAAATGATTATCTGAACAGAACTGTAGGAGACGGTCACCGTTGTCGGTTCGCTGGCACGGAATTCCGTATGTGCCACCAACATTCTTCTCAGATTGACACAATTTCCCTACTTGAGCATTAAAGTCACCAGCTAAAACGACTATATCTGAGCGTCTAGCCTTTCGCAGCAAACTAGACAGCTTTTGGTAGAACTCATCCTTCGTTTCATCCGAACTGCAGTCAGTGGGGGCGTAGGCGGAGATTACGAAAAGGCATCGGCGAGTAGTGCAGTCCTTTCTCCTTTTCACTGATCCGTTCAGGCGGACAGCGCACATTCGGCTATCTACCGGGATCCAGTCAAGTAATGTCTTTTCTGCTCTAGTACTTAAAGCTATCCCAACACCAGCTAATCCTCGTGAGCTAGCCGTCGCATCTCCTGACACCCTCAAGGTGAATTTTGCAGATTCATCCTGTTGGCCAGGTGGGGTTAGGTGAATAACCACACTTGGGTCCTGTATGCGTGTTTCTGAAACACAACATACATCAATGGCTCGGGATGCCAGAGTCTTGGCTAGTGATGCCTGTCGCCCTATTTGGCAAAGTGTCCTCACATTAAATGCCCCTATATGAAATTGGTGACGTCGCTTTAGGAGACTATCGATGGTGGCTTTTTGGCTTCCCTCGTTATCAGTGCACATAGAGTGAAGGGGAAGTGAAGAGCCAACAAGTAGAGGAGTTGCATTGGTAGAAGGAAGGCAAGATAATAGAGATGAAGATGAAGACAAAGATGAGCGAGGATTAGAGGGGTTTCGCGTGCACTTCGGATTGTGAGGGCGATTGGTACTTCCCGGCTGCCCACACCGTGGAAGTTGGTTGCGTGACCGCAGAGCCCAGGGGACAACTGCTTGAGGCCGGTCACACACGGCCTGTTTTTGTTTGTTCTTTTTTATTTGGTGTGTCTCAGTAGCGTATTTATCACTTCTGCCCTGTGACACGGCAGCAGAAAGCGCGGTCGTTGTTAATCCGGGCCCCGACCGATCCGGCATGATATTTTGTGATTTATTTGAAATCATAGGATTGGATTGGGTAACTGCTTTTAGTCTAACTGCTATCCAAACAACCTTTCTGGCATGGTAGGACCTGCAGGAACATAAGTTCCAGCCAGTATAGCTTGTTGGGTCATTGCAGTGTTCAAGCCCGACCACCACGTCAAGGTGGCAGCTTTCGGTCGGGAGTGGAAAATAGGGCTTCACGCTAGAGCTTTGAAGTTTCGGTAGCAGTGGTCTCATTTTTACGGGGTGGGATTGCTAGTCTCAAGCCCAATCTTCCCTCTTTGCCGGGCTTATTATTAGCTAAGAGAGGCTTGGAAGTGCATCGACCGGGGATCAAACCCCGGACCACCTGAGTGGCTGGCGAGCATGCTATCTCTGTGCCACCGACACACAGAATTCTTCAACCACTATCGAATTTTCTTTGATAGCTTCAATTTTCAAGAGTTCTTTTTGTAGAGGTTAGATTCGTTTCAGGTTTGACCACCGATTGATACCAGTTAGAGAACCATTAAGACCTCGTTCTAGTTCGAGATTCATTGGCAGTACGCATCCACCAGGTTTCGAATGTACAACCTTTCGGTTTCAAGGCAACCTCGTTGACTATTTCAGCCACTGGGACCAGATTCAATGGACAACCAATGAATTCTTACTCCTACGAATTCGTGATTTTAGTAGGTGAGTCCCGAACTAAGACGAAACGGTTGTCCAGTACTCCCTAGTTTTCAATGGTTCTTTAACTGATATGAATCTGTGGTCATACTTGATAAATTCAGGTTATCAATGAAGAACCATCAACTGCCAATATAAAAAACGGGTAATGAGCTTCTCAACAAGAGTACTAAGCTCTGATGAAATAAAAATCTTAGAAAAAGGATTATACTTCAATGTAGCTGTTGATAAATGAACACCTGAGTATGTCATTCCTAGTATGGAAATATTACTTAGCGAAATAAATAAGACAACTGCTCAGCAAGTGTTAGAGCACATTGTGTATTGATATTGAAACACCAGAAAAAAGTAAGAAAGAAGTTATCACTGCAGGAAATAGCAGCTCGAAAAAAACTGTCCAATCTCCCACTTATAAAGGTATTTAAAGACTGTTCTGATTCATTATTAGTTATGATACGTTCTTTTAAATACATGACTCCATCTAATTCATTTCATATACTGATTATTTCAAGATGAACAATGCACTAAATGCTTACTATCTCACGTTTTGTACTTGCCACCCACCAAACATGTTTTAGAATCTTGAACTGCCTTGTTACTTTTCTTTTCCCATATGGCATGTATCTTTTATAATTCATCACTCTCATCAACTGGTATTTCACAATATTTTGTAATTGTATTCAGTCAGTCAGTGCAGCACGTTTTTCTCACCCTATAACCAATCTGTTATTCTATATCGTATGAAATGTATCCACCACATAACTGACTATTATTGTAATGCCAGTAAATATATTATTTTATAACTAACTAAATGTAAGAATATGAAAAAAGAATTTATTGGAAAACGTTCAGATCAACTTTTAATTACCAAATGAATTTACCAAAGTAAGTAAATTATGCTGAATTCCTCGAACTACTTGCAAGTAGTACACACTACATTACTAAAATAGTATAAGGTTCTCGTAGAGCAAAAGAAATTTCATGTGATGATATGGAATATGATGTGAAAAGAAAAGGCTTATTTATTGAAATATTTGTAAAGTATGAAAAGAAATACTCATATATTAGAGTTTTTCTGTTTGTTAAAGAATCAACTATTAGCTAATCCATATTGGTTTGAAACATACACACAAAATTATACTATTGTAAAGAATTATCACACACAAGTGCACCCACCCGCCCACACACACACACACGCACAGATTAAAGTACTTAATCATCACTTATCACCACCTATGAATAAAGCAACATGATAATTTGACAAAATCAAACAATCTATACTGTTGTTGTTGTTTTTGATTTTACTTAACTTTACTAGATGTGAAAATTTGTTGTGCTATTTTTTCTCTCTACAGCTCAATCAAATTCCTTTCTTACTAAATAATTATCCTATTATAAGTACAGTCAGAACTCCCCCCTCCCTCTCCACCACCAAAAAAACAACAACTTCAGAGTACAATTATATAAAGATATGGATTACAATTCGCTTAAAATTCTGAATTGATTTCAAGTGATTATAAAGAAATAAACAAATTAATTAAAATTTGTCTATTCTCATTGATAATTACATATGAGACAATAAGTATATAGAACTTAAGTATACTACTGTATGTATTAACTGTTTTTTCTCTCTTGATACTAGAATTCATATGCCTCTCTGAAAAGCTTTCAATGTCATTTGTAATTGTTGTTGTCTATGCAGATATACTTGAAGTGTGATAGTGAAACATGCTGTGAGTATACACACAAAATATACCATAACACTTTCAGTAATTTACAACTGAAAGAAAACTTTATTATAATAAAGGTTTTTTGTAAGTCTCAATGAACGAGAACAGATGTTTCGCTATTTAATGCTGTAAATAGCTTTATCGATTTATTATTAAACCAGAATTTGTCTGTCTGTCTGTTTTCGACATAGAACTTTGCACATATGTGCGGCAGTTCAAGTCGACACACTCCATGTACCACACAAAGCAAGAGAAGAAAGTAGAAGAAATGCATAATAGAGACAGTAAACAGAGGTGTGAGACAAAGGTATGGTAATAAGGAAGAACAAAACAGTTTCATTGGAAATCATAAGTCACAAGGAGTGGATGCATCTGCACCAGCCATTGAGAACGATTTTGAGCCATGTCACCAATTGTTTTCAGATATCATTCGTTTTTACCGTCCCGAGGACCCCAACTAAGAAGTTTACACCTTCCTACGTGGCTTAGACTAACTGTTGTGGATTTCATTGACTGGTGCCATGTTTTGGTTTGACCGCCGCTAGCTCTTTTCCAGCCTGACCCTATATCAGCTAACATTGCCCATCAGTCGAGGAAGGCGATGACTAGGCATGCGTAACACATGTCCTAACCATCTCAGTCGAAGTAATTTCACAGTCTCGTCGATTGATTTCCCCGCCTTACCTAGCACTCGAAGCCTAACCTCAATATTGCTCACCTTATTGTACCACTTCACGCGGGAGATAGAACGCAGACACCTATGATCAAAGACAGCTAATCTTTTCATGTCTTCCACTCTCAATGGCCAGGTCTCACAGCCATAAAGGAGGACGGAGCAGACTGTTGAGCAGTACACACGCCCTTTGGTCGATAGTCGGATATCACGTCTACGCCAGAGACGGCGTAAACTGGCATAGGGTCATTTTCAAATCGGCCAATTGGCAAAGATAACAAAACAAGGTGTAGATTGTTAGATTTTGATCAGTGTATAAGGTTTTAAAAGCAATGTGTGTTTACATAATGAAATTGCTTATCACATTCGTGTTGATTTTGTCATTTCATAGGGGAGGGGGATGTTGTAACCAGGTCAAATTGTGTTTAATATATAAGCTGAGATTTTGTAAATTCTGGTTTAATAATACTTTGATGAAGCTATTAGGATTAAATAGCGAAAAGTCAATAAAAAACAATATCGTTTTGTTTTTCATTCATTGGGCAATACAAAAAACCTTCATTAGTAATATTATTTATATAGGAACTGTAGAAGAAAATGAGTATATATATATATATATATATATATATATATATATATATAATGAACAATAACTGTATTTACACTTACAGGAACTCTAATTTGTTTCATGCTATCACGTTCACGAAGAGTTGCTGAAGCAGGCAATTTATTTAAAGTGTCAAAATCAACAGTAATTCCATATGGTATAGCAATTTGATCTGTACGAGCATAACGTCTTCCAATTGATCCACTGCTTTCATCGACTCGATGTGAAACTCCACATTTAGTCAGTTCAATAGCTAGAAAAAAAATATATATGGAAAATATGAATGTTAAGAAACAAAACAAAAACAAGTTACAGTGAGAGAGATTAACATTTTAAAAAAACCAATACTCCTAGTTATCATAACTCAATAAAATCAAACTTCAAAGGTGGAATGTAACAAAACATAAGTCAGTAGGGTACATCAAGTGAGAGATGCAGGCATCCGCTGACGCTGGTGTTAAATATCATTAATTGGCAAAAGTTACAATTTATAAACCATTGTATTCTGGTCACGGTAGTTGAATGGGCAACAGGCTCACCACATAACTCAGGTTCAACTCCCAGTGCTATCATAGGTGCATACTGCTTAAATATTCCAAGGTAGGACAAAAAGGCTGTTCAGTACTTCATAGTTTTTTTCTTCTTCTTATTGTTTCCTTTAATTCCTAGAGGAACATAGGGCTTCAGCCGTGCGTCTCCATTGCGTTCGGTTCTCTGCTAGAGTCTTCACCTGGCTCCAAGTCTGCCCACACGTTTTCATCTCCTCCTCCAAGTCACCCTTGCACTGACGACCAACTCGCCGCTTCCTTTTCGGGTTCCATTTGAGGGCTTGTCTAGTGATGCCACTTGATGGTTTCCTCAGAGTATGGCCAATGCATCTCCATTTCTTCCTGCATATTTGTTTCACGATCGGTTCGTGGTTGGTTCGCTGATTGCCAGAGATCTCTGTTGCTGATCTTTTCTGGCATCTGATCTTGAGTATTGAGTGAAGACAGCTGTTGATGAAGGTCTGTAGTTTGTTTGAGATGCTCTTTATGACACGCCAAGTCTCTGATCCGTATAGTAGCACTGACTTCACATTGGAGTTGAAAATCCGGATCTTATTTTTGATGCTGAGTGCTGTTGACCTCCACACAGACTTGAGAGTAATGAAAGCTTGTCTTGCTTTTCCGATTATTGTTTTGATATCTTCGTCAGTTCCGCCTGTAGTTGAAACGATTCTAATCAGGTAGGTAAAAGAGGTTTTTTCTTTCAGGTTCCTTTCATTTATGCTGAGTTAATTCCTAGAGGAACATAGGGCTTCAGCCATGAGTTTTTTTCTTAACTTTATTATTATTATTGTTGGGTTCCTACTGCAACATAGGGCTCCAATAGCACAACTCCAAGTCACTCTCAGATGTCAAACTCGTCGTCTCCTATTCGAGTTCCACTCAAGGGATAGTATGGCGCGTGATGTCATTTGACAGCCTCTTTCTCTGTTGAGCAATATAGGATCTTAACATCAGTCAAATCCCAGTAAGTCAACACTTGAAATAGATAATTCATTATGATATAAGCGATTTGTAGATAAGAAAGGAGATCCATTTAGTGTTATTCAAATATTAATATTTCATCTTTAGTAGACTTGATGAAATTGACAGCAGTAACTTGACTAAAGGACAAAGATTCAGTTTTAAAAAAATACATACATTTTGACGATGCTAATACTACCTTTCACCAAGTCTGGAGATGAAATGCCTACGTTTATAATATGGGATCTCGAAGAGTGACGAATATTGATCCTATTATCAAGTGTTATAAAACACTATAAAAACACAGTGAGAGAATATCAGCTAGCCACTTCGCGATTTGGTGATATGGTGAGTTAACCATGCCTATGACAGGTCGAAGTGGGACATTCTCCTTATGCACTTTAGGCAGTCCATACAGTCTTGGAATAGTTGAACTGCAAGGTTTTATTTGCTCATAAACCTCCGATGTTATGACTGAATCTTCTTTCATTCTCTTCAGCAATTTTGTAAGTAGGTTTTCAGTTCTTTCAGTTGTGTCTTTCTGGTTGGGTGATTCGAAGAATTTGGTGTTATCTGATAGTATATTTGTCAATTTCTCATTATAATAATAAAGATATAATCCTCGTCCGTCCTGATAAGGGCAATGGTATTGTAGTAATGAATAGATCAGATTATAGTGAGAAATTGACAAATATACTATCAGATAACACCAAATTCTTCGAATCACCCAACCAGAAAGACACAACCAAAAGAACTGAAAACCTACTTACAAAATTGCTGAAGAGAATGAAAGAAGATACAGTGAGAGAAGAAAAGAATAAAAATAAGTGTAAAAAGGGATACTTTGATGGACATAATTGTAGACAATTATGAGTAATACCACCGCCTTTAAATACTGATTTCAGATCATTCAAACACACCAACCTGTCAACATCTTTCTACACCGAATAAACCAAGGGTTTCATTGAATTTATGAACTGGTGCCACATTTATTTTCGGCTGGTTAAACATTAAAGTTTTTAAAAACCACTTCTACTGCAACATGCATCTAAGCCGGCGGATTGAAAAGCGTTAGTTTACAATCTCATCTATTATAAGAGGTCTAGAATTTCTTAGTTGTTCTTATAGCAAAACCATTGACACTTCATAAACATAATGGTTGTTAAGTACGGTTGATACTACTGATTAACTAAAAAGATATGCAACATATGACACGTTATAGAAAAAGTCACTCCAAATGGCTACCGTACAGAGTGTCGTTTACAACTTATAACCGTACGCTACTAAAATATGGGGCTATAAAGCATGTGTTCATTGAATGATACATTTTCCCACTGATACTAACTGTACTCAAAATTGAATCAAGACACTGCCAATGATACGTCATCCGTAATGAAGTTACTTCAGAGTTAAACAACAATTATAAGAACTAGAAAAGGGATAGATAAAAAGGATCATTGAAAAAAGGGCGTCAATTTAAGTCTCGTCACATAGTAAATAAAGGGAAAGTAGATGGATAGAGAACAATAATTAAAAAAAACAAATCTGAAAAACAGTATTGTGAGGAAGGAGTACAACAAGAAGCAAAGTGGATGTGTGGTGAGAGCAAGCTGCTAGCCAATTGGTAGACATTGATCTACGCTGATTGGTAGAAATTAATCTAGGCTGATTCAAGGACCAATCACAGCTGACCTTGACATGGACAAATATGATTCGCAGACAAGTGGCTCGCATTTCCGAGAAACATCGAAAACGAGAAAGCAGAAGACTGCGTTTGTGTGCAAACAACCAATCAGAAGACCGCCTTCTTTCTGCGGGCAGAAGCCTATTAATGTACGTAAAATACATATAAATACCTGTTGGTTTTCGTAATAAAACTGATCTGTTGCCAGCCTTGTCTTCTGTTGTTACATTTGGTGTCGCTGCCTCCGCAAAAATGAAGATCCCGTGGCCAGCTGCGTTTGAGGAGGGAGACATACGGAGCTTCCTACGTGATTTCGAAGCCATAGCTGAGCTGGTGGGTGTCAAGGAGCAGGCGGCGAAGGCAGTTGTTCTGGGGACGCTGTTGAGAGGCCGAGCGAAGGCGGCATATGACAGCGTAGACCGGTCAAACGGCACAGTGTCTTGGAAGAAATTGGTTGAAAATTTGGTGTCGGAGTTCGACAGCGCAACAGACAGGCAGCTAGCGATGCAGCAGTTCCGATCAACGAGGCTGGGACCTGATGGAGACCCGTTAGTATTGGCGGTGAAATTGACGAATTTACTTCGACGGGCGCTTCCCACGTTGGATAAAGAATCAGAAGAGCAGTTACTATCTTCCCAATTCATCGAGAGTGTACCAGACCACATTTCTCAGCAGTTAAAACTGGTGAACGCAACGCAACCGATGGATATTAGTGAACTAGCGAAGGTGACCAGACAGCTGCTGAGCACGACTGTAGCCGCTGTAGAGCAGCCGAAACCAAATGAATATGAGGAGCAAATTGAAGCATTGCAGCGGGAAGTGGCGGCGTTAAAGTTGGGTAATAGAAAAAACCGATGTTTTGAATGCGGCAAGCCAGGACACTGGAGAAGAGACTGCCCAGAAAGACAGAAAAGGAAAAATTTCAGACGGTATAATGCTTGTTCTTTCTTTCGTATGAACCTAGACTTAGTGGGGGCGATTGAGAAAGGGGCTATGTATTCGAAGTTGCGAGTAAATGATCGAGAAGTAGTATGCTTAGTAGATACAGGAGCGGCCGTGTCGTTGATAGATAAGAATTTATGTAAGAGCGTTAGTCCGTGTTCGTTGACAGTACAAACAGTAGGCGGGCATGTGTTGCGTATAACGGGTAGGTCGAACTGTACGATTGTTGTTGGAGGGTGCGAGGTGACGTTTCCTTTCATTGTTGTGCCCGAACTACAGCGAACGATATTAGGAGCGGATTTTCTGCGGGAGATTGGTGCAATAATTGACACGCAAGCGAAAGTAGTGGTCACGAAATACGGGCGTATCAAAATGTATGAGACCAGCGAGATAGCAGCGGTGAACCTGTCGACGGTATACAACATGACAGATTTAATTAAGAAATACGATCATCTGTTCACTGGAGATGGCGATCCATACGGTTATTGCGACAAGGTGAATCATGAAATTCCGTTAACTAATCCAAAAGTAATGTCATTTACATCGCGAAGAATACCATGTCATCTGGAAGGCGAAGTGAAGCGACAAGTGCAAGAGATGTTAAAAGACGATATTATTGAAGAAGCTGATAGCCCGTACAACTCTCCAGTGCTGTTAGTAAAGAAAGCGAATGGGAAGTATAGATTCTGTGTTGACTTTCGACAATTAAACAGTATGACAGAGTTAAAACCGTGTGCCATGCCAACAGTGGTGGAAACTTTAGACCGCCTACAAGGCGCGAATGTGTTTTCCGTTTTCGATCTTCGCTCAGGGTACTGGCAGATACCGATAAAACCAGGTGATAGAGATAAGACGGCATTCAGCGTAGGCCAGACACAATATCGATTTAAACGCATGCCATTTGGACTAGCAGGTGCACCGTTCACGTTCAGACGACTGATGACGCTATTACTTAAGAACTTGAAAAACGTTGAGGTGTACGGTGATGATCTCGTCATATATAGTCAAAACGAAAACGATCATGTGAACCATGTGGAAGCCGTGCTGCGACGCATCGAAGAGTTTGGACTGCGCGTCAACAAAACCAAGTCTCAGATAGCCAAAAAGAATGTAACTCTTTTGGGACATAAAGTGGGAAGTGGTGAGATTAAACCACTACCGGAGAAAATCTTGACGATAAAGACGATCCCGGCCCCAAATTCAAAGAGGAAATTGAGGCAATTCTTGGGTAGAGCGGCGTTTTATAGTCGATTCGTGAAGAACTTCAATGAGATAGCAGCCCCTCTATACAGGCTACTAGGTGAGCCGAAGTTTGTTTGGTCGGAAGAATCGCAGAGGACATTTGACAGAATTAAACACCTGTTCGACCACCAACAAATGACGCTAAAACTACCTGTACCTGGAAGACAGTTTACAGTATGCACAGATGCCAGTGACTACGCCATAGGTGCGGTCCTAAGACAAGGTGATGGAATCGTTGAGTATGCCAGTCGAGTTTTAACACTCACAGAGAGAAAGTATTCAACGATAGAGAAAGAATGTTTAGCAATGGTATGGGCAGTCGACAAATGGCGACCTTATTTACTCGGCCGGCGGTTCCACATCGAAACTGATCATAAGCCGCTACAATTTTTGAAGACAGCGAGAGACCCACGGGGGAAATTGTCACGGTGGATGTTGCGTCTTCAGGAGTACGATTTTACGATCTCACACGTTCCTGGAAGTGAAAATGTCTTGGCAGATTTGTTATCGAGACCAGAAGATGAGCCTGAGTTGCCCGAGGTCGCTTACGGAGTGCATGCTGTAGAGCAAGACCCACTAAAACTTGCACGCAAGCAAAGGTTGGATGATACGCTGAATACAGTGATACAGGTGATAACCAACGGGATAGAAGTAGATCAAGCTACGGCGAGTAAGGAGCTAACCACACTACTCAGACAGAGAGATCGACTAAGAGTGAATGCCTACGGGACTCTGACCTGGCGAGAGAACGACGGAAGCTGGCTGGCTATCATACCTCAGTCCTCGCGCCACAACATGATAGAAGAATGTCACCAGCTAGCACATACAGGCGTGGCCAGAACAACTGACCTCCTAAGACAAAGCATGTACTGGCCAGGTATGAGAGAAGACGTAGCAAGATACGTACTTGGATGTCCACGGTGCCAGCTAATGAAAGGCGACCGGTGCATACGACCACCGCTTCAGTCGATTCCAGTTACGGCGATAGGTGACTTGTGGTCCGTAGATGTTATGGGTCCATTTCCTCAGACATCTAATGGTAATCAGTACCTCCTGGTGATGACGGAACACGCGACACGATGGGTAGACGCCGTAGCGATCCCAGATCAACGTGCAAAGACCGTGACAGACGCAGTAGTTAAACACATCGTTGCAGACCACGGCGTACCAAAGACGATACTGACGGACCAAGGTCCCTGTTTCGAAAGTGAGGAATTTACTTCCCGTTTGCAACAGCTTGGCATCAAGAGGATCAGAACGACCCCATATCATCCACAGACGAATGGCCTAACGGAGAGAAACAACCGTACACTGAAGGAGTGGCTGGCCTCGAAGGGCGGTAACTGGGAAACGGAGCTTCCACTGATTTTACTGACGCATCGGGCTACCACTCAGGAAACAACGAAGAAGTCACCCTTTCAACTGATGTATGGTAGAAAACCACGATTACCGATACACAACGAGACCTGGCCCCTTCACCAAAAGTGGAATACGACGAAATTAAGAGCAGAGCGGAAAGAGGCCGTCAAGAATGTAATACGGAAGCAGCGGAGTGATGTCGCGAAGTCTCAGATGAAAGAAAAGACGCGGTGCATCACCTTTGCAGTCGGGGACCAAGTGAAGTGTAGAGACAGGAGATATACAGTTGGAGGCGGGCCAGGTTCACGGAAACTCCTGCCAAAGTGGGAAGGACCATACACAATCACAAAAAGACGGGGTCAAGTATATACCGTCCGAAGAGGTGACAAACAGAAACGAGTTAATGCCAGTCAGCTCCAACGATGGGTACAGTGGGACAAGCCGATCAGCAACAATCCTCAACTAGAGAATGTAGCACCAAGAAGGTCGGAACGCCTGCGTACGAAGCTATTTGACGGGGGGACGAGTGTGGTGAGAGCAAGCTGCTAGCCAATTGGTAGACATTGATCTACGCTGATTGGTAGAAATTAATCTAGGCTGATTCAAGGACCAATCACAGCTGACCTTGACATGGACAAATATGATTCGCAGACAAGTGGCTCGCATTTCCGAGAAACATCGAAAACGAGAAAGCAGAAGACTGCGTTTGTGTGCAAACAACCAATCAGAAGACCGCCTTCTTTCTGCGGGCAGAAGCCTATTAATGTACGTAAAATACATATAAATACCTGTTGGTTTTCGTAATAAAACTGATCTGTTGCCAGCCTTGTCTTCTGTTGTTACAGATGTACTAAAGATATTTTGTTTAATTTTCAATCTTTTCACTAAGTTTTCCAGAGTTGATTTGCAGGTATTTCATTGGTCTCAAGTTACATAACAAACTGACGACTAATTACAAAATCAAGGAGTACCGGGGACAGTTGTTTCATCCTAATTTGATACTCTTCAACAGAGCAACTAGTGTCAGTTAGTGATATAACTTGAAATTAATCAAATACCCACTGGTGACTGATTACAGAATGAAGTTTCCTGAGGTTCTAGTGAGTAATCGTGGGGCCTATGGGGTCCACCAAATTAGATGTGAGGGTAAATACTTGCCGGCAACATCAGTTTAGCAGTGGCGGCAGTTAGAATGGTCAACTATCGTCACATAACACCTAAAGGTTCTGGATTAGATCCTCGGTGGTATCAAGGATACTGCATACTGCTAAGGAGTCTCCAACCAGAGCGAAACAGCTGTCCAGTACTCCATTAACACCACCTTCATTTACTTCTACAGATTTACTAGAGAGAATAAAGGAATCAGGAATGGAAAAGAATAGAAACAGTGAAGAGGCGTTTATATTGGAATATTCTTTACAAATGGATTTTGTTTTTTAAAATACACCAGAGAAAATAGGACCCGTCAATCATTAAAAAAAAGTATGATATACAAAACCTTGAGTCATCAATTCACTTTATTGATGATACGATGAAGACAAATACGCATATTATTAAGTGATAACATTAAATACATGATATTATAATCATTAAATCACACGATACCACTAAAGATATCTTACTAAAATAACATTGAGAAGGCTGAATAAATAATATACATATACATATGTATATTTTTAGCAGCATTGAACATTCCTATCTCTTTAATCAACTAGAATATATAGATTTGAAGTTTATCTAGGGATAGGAATTTTTTATTGTAAGACAATGAAACTTACACAGTTTGCGTACAATCGGTGCAAAATCCGGATGATTTGAAAGTGGAAGCAAAGAACATTTATACGGAGCCAATACTGGAGATACAGACAGATACTAGAAGAAAAAGAAAAATAATAATAAAATAATAAAAGGAATTCATAGTGACAATGGTAAACAATACGATTCAAAACTACTGGTATCAATACGCAAGTCTAACCATCGCCTTCCTCGACGGTCAATGTTAGCTGATATAGGATCAGGTTGAACAAGAGCTAGTGGGGGTCAGTCAGTGAAATCCACAACAGTTAGGAGGTGTAGAATTCCTGACTGGTGCGCGATGTCATCCGAAGATCTCCTCAGAGTGTGTCCAACCCATCTCCAATTTCTTCTGCATATTTGCTGACCAATAGATTGTTGGTTGGTTTGTTCCCGTCGTTTCTTGTTGCTATTTCTTTCTGGTCATTTGAACTTCAATATGGAGCCGGTGAAGGCAATTGTTGATGAAAAATCGGCAACCTGTTGAAGAGGTCCTATCAATCAGTACTGGCTCCATACTTATAATAAATACAAACTATGATTAAACTACAGTAAGTTGATGGTAAAGTAAGTGGATTACGGTGAAATTTCACCATAGTTTCTAATTGTAAACTTAAAAAACAAAACAAAGAAAGCAGAAAAGGACTACTCACTATCTGTAAACAAGAAGCCACTTTATATACGACTGCAATTCAAGGGCGATATACCAAGTGAGATAATTACGAGGAAATTAAGAAAATCAGTTCAAAGAACTTTTAATGCTAGCGAACTACACGTCTTATTCTCTACACGATCGATGGTGCTACCTCGACTGAAAGATGAAGTATATAGACTAGCCACTTCAAATTGTATCTACCAATTCAACTGCGCTTGTGGAGTGAGTTATATTGGCCGTTGCTCTAGGAACTTGATTTTTCGTGCTCTCTCGAGAACATCTCCCACTATGGCTAAGTAAAGGTGTAGTGAAAACCATTAACAGTTCGATATTGGACCATCTGGTGCAAACCGGCCACAAAGCCAGCATTGAAGAATCCTTCTCTATCATCTACCGGGTGCCTAATAAATTGCCGAAATCATCGAAGCACCGCATGCTCCAAACAGCAGAGGCTATTGCAATTCGCCTCAAACAACCAGTGCTCTGTGTTCAAAAAAAGCAAGTCCAGCCACTACTACTGCCCTAGCTGGCCTTCAGTAGAGACTATAAATTCATAAATTTGTATTATTATCTTTCCTAATTTGCCTTTCTGACATTCAGTTTATTGTTATGTTGATGCTATTGAGCTGTAATGTATCAATATTATTGATTCGATGTTATTTAAACAGCATTAATGTTGTTCATAACACTAATTCATTCATTCATTCATTCACTATAATGTATATATAACTGTAGAGCCTGATGATGAAGTTATCGAAAAGAGTATTCTTTGTGTTCAGTATCCATACGTGATCTAATTGCTACTACAAATTATACTGTCTGTCTGTTTTCGACATAGAACTTTGCACATATGTGCGGCAGTTCAAGTCGCCACATTCCATGTAGCACACAAAGCAAGAGAAGAAATGAAAAATAGAGACAGTAGACAGGGATATCAGACAAAAGGAATAGTAATAACGAAGAACAATATAGTTTCATTGGAAATTATAAGTCACAAGGAGTGGATGCATCTGTACCATTGACAACGATTTACAGCCATATCACCGATTGTCTCCAGCCATTGGTTTTTACCGAATCGAGGACCCCAACCAGGAAGTCTGCACCTTCCTACGTGGCTTAAACTAACTGTTGTGGATTTCATTAACTGGAGCCATGTTTTGGTTTGACCGTCGCTAGCTCTTTCCCAACCTGACCCTATGTCAGCTAACATTGCCTGTCAGTCAAGGAAGACGATGACTAGGCATGCGTAACACATGTTCTAACCATCTCAGTCGATGTAATTTCACCGTTTCGTCGATTGATTTCCCCGCCTTACCTAGCACTCGACGCCTAACCTCAATACTAGGCATCGAGTGCTATTATTATACTCCTATACTATTGTTATTATACTGCTAACTGACATATAATTAGCTAGGACCAGCTTGATTCTCTAAGTTAAACAAATTTCGAGACGCATGACTGATGGATGAGGTAGAGACTACTAATAAACTAAGACAGCAGTGAGCGCTAACTGTTAGTGAGTGGTTTTCAACTACTCATGTCAATCAGTAGTATATACATATACATATATTGACTGATTTATTATATATCAGCGTTCAATGAAAACAGAGGAATTGGGAAGGAGATGTCTTTTAACATCTTCATAAAGTACATCTGCTTAGAATATTGAGCAGTAGGTACAATGATTTTGTTGAACTATGTATGTATGCCATAGATGAAAAATGTTAAATGCCATTTTGAAAACGTTTTTGATGAATGAACATGGGTCAAGGTCAAAAACACAGTATCATAAATTAATAGAAAAGTCAGGAAAGGAGCTTTATAAAAAAGAAGAAAAATGGTGTTGTGTCCTGTCCTGTCCTTCAATCTTATCAAACCACATTCGCGTTAAATAGTTAACTTTTAGAAATATTCTAAAAAGAACATGTAGATTGTTGTGTAGACAAGACAAGTGAAAAGAAAAAATATGCCTAAAGTAGGCAAAAAAGTATAAACACCCTTTTTGTTCCAGAAGAAATAAGTAACAACCAGGTAGTAGGTTACACGTCACATGGTGAAACAATCACAAGAAATATTTTGAAAAGTACATATTTCGTGTTTATTAAGCACTCATGACACCTACACTTAACAATAAGTGTAAAATGCATGACATGAAAATCTTACACAATGTTGAAAGTCTACAATACTGCTATTTGAAAACCAATTTAGAGGGGAACTAAGCGAAGAATTTCACAATAATAGTAATTATTATTGTTTATTCTTACTATTATTATTTTACTGACAAATACATATTTAACGACTATATTCTGTTTCTAAGCGGAAATTACTTCTGATGATATTAGACGGTTGGAGGCAATCGGCAGGAAGACTTCGACCTAGGTTTTGTGCTGGTTGGCATTCGTCAGCAAGGCATATCTGCAACCTTGAAGGAATTCATGTCCCTTTTGAGATTCTTACTCGCGTTACCCAGTGCTGCAGTCAGAGACGTCACCACTGAGCTATTCGGGCTCGCGATTGATCTCCTGTAAGACTGTATTGAATACTTGCGACTGGACACTAGTAACTAGTGTGATCTGTCTAGGTCGAAGGCTTCCTTCTGATTGCCTTCAACCATCTACTAACATCAAATCAATGTGCACCATGATGAATGGCGAGCTACCTAGAATGGTGGCGACATTGCAAACTTGACTGATAGAATTCAGTCTACACCATAGAAAGGGCTAGACACATCACACTAGTTACTAGTGTCCAATCAAGGAAATTGCTTTAAATGTATTCCACTTTTGTGAAGACGAGGGAAACACAGCTTTAGGGGAGAGCCAAAATCTATCATGAAATTGAATACTGCTAAAATTAGATTTTTATTTAGGTTTTTGTCCAAATCTCAAGAGAATAAAACAAAAAATTCAAACACAACTCCATAAAATTAGAAGACTTAAAACAGGGGGTAATGTTTACTCGAGTTTGACCAAGTATTGATATCAGTTAGAAAACCATTGGAAACCAGAGAGTTCTGGACAGCCGTTTCCTACTAGTTTGAGAATCATCGGCAGTATGCACTCGCCATAGGGGCTTGAACCCTGGACCTTCCGGCTACAAGGCAAGCTCGTATACAATTCAGCCACTGGGACCCGATTCAATGGACATCCATGAATTCTAACTTCTACCAATTCATGATTTTCAGCGTGGTTTTTAATGGCTCTTTAACTGATATCATCAATTCGTGGTGAAATTCGAAGAAATAAATCTAATCCTAACAAATCAACTCTTGATAATATTTATTTGTTATATTGTATTTCGAAATTTTTTTTAGAGTTTTTTCAACACCAATTTAGGCGTCGGTGAAATTGTTATTTTATCAAGCATTGACTTATGGACTGAGATTTCTAACAGAAGCACTTATATTCAGTGAAGCATAATTATATTCGACTGATTAATCCCTGTTGGGAAGAAGGAGGCAATCCAGGATGGCCCACAGTGCCGATGCTGTAATCAGCAGCAGGTTTGAAGTCTCTGTCCTTTGTGACGCATGTGTCTTATGCGTTGGTGATTCAAAGCCAGAATGCTCGCTAACCACGCACTCGACTCAGGTTTGATTCCAAAAAACGATACAATCCTAAACCTCACCTAGTTCACCATAGGAAGTTAGTAGGCTAGGAAAAGAGAGAATGTGGGGCTTGAGGCTGGCAACCTTAGACAGTAGAAAAAGTAACACCACCAGCGCTACTGAAACTTCAAAAATTACAATGAGTGGAGCCTTAAGCCCCACTAGGAACGTAAAGAAATGTAAATTAAATTCGCAGCATACTGATTTAGATTTAATTGAATTTTAGATTTTCCTGTCGATTGATTGGACCGAAGTTGCTCGGTCTCAGGTTGACATGTCTGTTGGCTTCTTGTGCAGATGCTTCGACGATGTCTGAGAATTTAATTGGTTGTTGGTGACTAGCGGTGGAATCCAGGATGCGCATTTCATCCTATTTAGGACTCGTTAGCTAGATGTACCTGCATTTCCCAGTGAGTGATGATGTTCCCACCGAGGCTCGAACCTTGTGCCCGTAGTTTCAAACGCCAAAGCGTTATCCACTAGACACCACTTGGGCCACGAGAGCCACCTCTTGGGCACTGGGAACATCATCACTCACTGGGAAATGAAGGTACATCTAGCTAACGAGTCCTAAATAGGACGAAATGCGCATCCTGGATTCCACTGCTAGTCACCATCCACCAATTAAATACTGACTTAGAAATTGATGTGATATATATATATATATAATTGAAGAAATTAACTAAGTTTCAATTTAGAACTTACAGTTCGTTGTTCATCACCTTCTCGTACACGGAAAGAATGTTCAAATATGGTGTATAAGATTCGACCAATTCCAAATGAAGGTTCAATAACATTAGGCACTATTTCTTTCACTGAAATATCAATAATACATTGAAATATATTATCATCGTTTCTTTTATAAACAAAGCGAAATATATATAAAAGGTTTTACTTATTCAATTAGTATAACACTTTCAGTGAAATTATAGGATTGAAAATGTACATTGGAATTTAACAAAAATCAGGAGAGGAAAATAAGATTAGAATTCAAAGAAAAGCTTAGATTCCTTATAGGATTTCAAACATATCTAGCAGAGCTATAAAACTCTATAGATAATTATCTTTCAAACAGTTTTTGCTTAAGTGTAACATACATATATGGATGATTTATGCAGAAGTGTAAGTTGACCATCGTCATGTAGTTTCTTATTCATTAAAATAATGTAGAAGAATAAAGTAACAGATCGATAGTTCGATAGACTGACTGTCAACTTCATTGATCATCTAACCAAAACAAAGTGCTAGCTTAGTAAACTTAATAAACTCTCATTTTAACGTGTTAACTTTTTTGCATTCCGAGTGTGGAACATAGAGATACAATCTTTGAAGACTTAGTAGCATTGATGTGATTTTTTCTACGGGATGAGGTTGCTACGTTCACAATGAAACTCCCCTCTTTTCCACATTTATTATTCGGCTAGTAAATTAAATGAGGTTTAGGAGTGTGTCCACCAGGAATCGAACGCTAGAACATGCGAGTGATTAGCAAGCATTCTACCTATTGAACTATTGGTCTTGAAAAAAAGCTCACCTCTTAAATACTTCGATAAAACAGAGGATTTCTAGAGGATTATTCAAAACACGATACAATTAACCACTCTGAACACAATTCTAACTCATAATTACATCTTTCATACAGTAGTTTATTCAGCTTCAGTTACCCAGAACAGATGCTTCATGTATCAGATTAAGAGTCAGACTTATCGTGTGTGAAGGCTGGTGATACGACCTAGAATTGATCAGGTTGAAGTAGGTGGACAAGGGGCTCGAACCCGTGACCTGTAGGCTGAAAGCTTAAGCCAGTGAGCCACATGGTAGTAATAGAAATAAAATTATGGTTGTGATAAACAATTAATGTAGTTGAAATGACGAATCATTTAAAAACTTGAAGTAAATGATAACTCGGCTCCCTAAACTATGTTCCCCTGCATATTACTACTGATAAGCTGGGAGTTAAGCGAGAGAAACCACTGCCCAATGTTTATATCATTGCAATCTAAATGACACGGAATGAATACAGAATTCGTTTTCTACTTAAACATATAGTGATTGCAATTTTAATGCGCAAAAAAACAAACGACAGAATTAATACTAAGAAAAGACTGAATGAGATAGAAGTTATGCACTGAGACGAATAGTTTAGACAATCATGCACAAATGATACGGCAAATTGATAATATGTTATTAATATTGTATATTGGAAAAATGTTTACACACCATGTACAACATTTTCGTATTCTTTCATTTGAACCATTGACTGAGTGACATCCAGTTGCTTACCATTGACAGTTAATGTAACTTTTCTAATTACAAGGGAACAAACATAAAAAATTAAAACAATTAATTATTATAAAAAAACAGACAAAGTGAATTTAGCATTTACATATTTTCGACAGTTAGTTTGTAGGCATCTGATTTGTTTCAAGTTTGAACAAGGATCGACATCAGTTAGAGAAGTTTCACTATCAGTGGTGGTTTGATTTTTACGGAATGAGGTTGCTAGCCTTACGCCCAACCTTCCCTCTGTACCGACTTTACTATTATTTAAACGCAGAAAAAATTTGGTACAATATGGCACCAAGAAAGATGCGCCACACAATAACAATAAAACAACATAGATTACAAGTAAAAAATATAGATAGAGAGCGGATAAAGAACTTCATCTGGAAGGAAGTCATGTTTAACAAGTTCAAACGGTATTCGTTAACTATCATCAGGAAGGGAAGAAAGAAGGAAATTGCAACACGTTCGCCATTGATTACGATTCTTGGCCATATCCGATAACGTTTCGAGCCATCGATTCGAGCTATCTCGCGGACCCCAACCAGGGAGTCGTGACGCACCAACCGATACTAATCTAGCACAAATATCCTTCATCCCACGACGCCACGTCATGGACTGACCACCCATCCGCCTTTTCCATCCCGTCCCAGGGCTGGCTAGCGAACAGAGACCTGTACGGAAGCCTCTGGGATGACATTCGCAGCACATGTCCAAGCCACCGGAGCCGGTGTTTCCAGATGACGACACTCAATGAATGATCTCCACTGTGTTCAAACACACGCCGCCGAAACTCAGAATTACTCACGCGATGATGCCATCAAACGCAAGCAATCCTGCGGAGACAGCGATGATCGAACACGCAGAGTCGCCTCACATCCTCAGCTCGGAGAGACCAGGTTTCACAGGCGTAGAGCAAGACAGCCTGCACCGAAGCATGGTATACCCGACCTTTGACAGCCAGGGTAACTTCGTGACGGCGCCAGAGGTGGCTCAAGTTGATGTATGCCACCCTAGCCTTCAGTATACGGTTGGAAATCTCATCCGTCACCCCTCCGCCAGCACTCACACAACTATCCAGATACACAAACTTATCAACAACTTCAAGCGGTTCACCCGCAAGAGTGAGTGCAGGTACAGGCTCCTGCCAATCTTGTAACAGTACTTTGCACTTAGATGGTGCAAAGCAGATGCCATACTTACAGACACTGACTTTACTACTGGCTTAGCGAGATTTAAGAGTGCGTCAACTGGATATCGAGCCCCGGAATCACGTGTGTGGTTGGTTGGCAGGCGTCCTACCGACTGAATCACCGACGCATAAACCACATATATATTTTACTCCCAAATAATCAAAACGCATATATGTATTAAGAGCCCAAGTTAAAATCAATACATTTTAAGGTGTGTTTATAAACAATCTAAATATCTCCCAATAAGTTTGCACCCAATCATATTATCTTGTGTCCTAAAACCTAAATAATTTACGAATCTAACCAAAATGTGCAAATGACCTTTATACCTGAATATTCCTACATTATCAAGTGATATACAAAACAATAGGTAAACAATACATTTCGTCTAGTCGATAATATAGTGATGGCATGAAAAAAAGTAAATACATTTTGTCATAATGGCTTTTACACAGTTGGATGCTGTGCTACTTTCTCGCTTACTGAAGTTTATCCATTCTTAACTTTGTTCAAAGCAAGGTTTCACACAGACACACACACACACACAGAACACACCAAAATGTGTGCGGTTCACTGACCGATCAAACTCTAATATCAAATAATCTGAAAAATTTCAGATGAAGTATTGGGATGTTGCTCATAGGCGTCAGGAAATAACTTTTAGTCATTGACTCCTAGGTTCGAATCCTACCTCGTCTAATTCGACCTGGACAACTGGGTAGCAGTCATAGTTGGTCATACTATAAGTAATGTAGCTTGTAGCTTGGTACTAGTTAGCACTGTGCAGAGTAACTGAGCTCTGACAATATGATAAATATGTTTTAAAATTGTTGGAGTACTGTGATGTCTGCTTCGGGATTTAATATCCTATGATGGTAAACAGATGACCGACCGAAAGCTGCTACCTTGACATGGTGGTCGGGCTTGAACACCGCAATGACCCAACAAGCTATACTGGCTGGAACTTATGTTCCTGCAGGTCCTACCATGCCAGAAAGGTTGTTTGGATAGCGGTTAGACTAAAAGCAGTTACCCAATCCAATCCTATGACTTCAAATAAATCACAAAATATCATGCCGGATCGGTCGGGGCCCGGATTAACAACGACCGCGCTTTCTGCTGCCGTGTCACAGGGCAGAAGTGATAAATATGCTACTGAGACACACCAAATGAAAAACAACAAACAAAAACAGGCCGTGTGTGACCGGCCTCAAGCAGTTGTCCCCTGGGCTCTGCGGTCACGCAACCAACTTCCACGGTGTGGGGAGCCAGGAAGTAACAATCGCCCTCACAATCCGAAGTGCACGCGAAACCTCTCTAATCCTCACTCACCTTTGTCTTCATCTTCATCTCTATTATCTTGCCTTCCTTCTACTAATGCAACTCCTCTACTTAATGGCTCTTCACTTCCTCTTCACTCTGTGTGCACTGATAACGATGGAAGCCAAAAAGCCACCATCGATAGTCTCCTAAAGCGACGTCACCAATTTCATATAGGGGCATTTAATGTGAGGACACTTTGCCAAATAGGGCGACAGGCATCACTAGCCAAGACTCTGGCATCCCGAGCCATTGATGTATGTTGTGTTTCAGAAACACGCATACAAGACCCAAGTGTGGTTATTCACCTAACCCCACCTGGCCAACAGGATGAATCTGCAAAATTCACCTTGAGGGTGTCAGGAGATGCGACGGCTAGCTCACGAGGATTAGCTGGTGTTGGGATAGCTTTGAGTACTAGGGCAGAAAAGACATTACTTGACTGGATCCCGGTAGATAGCCGAATGTGCGCTGTCCGCCTGAACGGATCAGTGAAAAGGAGAAAGGACTGCACTACTCGCCGATGCCTTTTCGTAATCTCCGCCTACGCCCCCACTGACTGCAGTTCGGATGAAACGAAGGATGAGTTCTACCAAAAGCTGTCTAGTTTGCTGCGAAAGGCTAAACGCTCAGATATAGTCGTTTTAGCTGGTGACTTTAATGCTCAAGTAGGGAAATTGTGTCAATCTGAGAAGAATGTCGGTGGCACATAGGGAATTCCGTGCCAGCGAACCGACAACGGTGACCGTCTCCTACAGTTCTGTTCAGATAATCACTTGTTTCTTGTAAGCACTAACTTCAAACACAAGGAGAGACACTGTTTGACCTGGCGACCTCCATCATCAAACCGACGCTGGACACAAATAGACCACATAGCAATAAGCTATCGTTGGCGTGGGTCGGTAGGAGATTGTCGCTCCTTCTGGAACACGTGTGTAGATACCGATCACGCACTGGTCCGCGCTCGTGTGTGCTTACGACTGAACAGACGTAGGAAACAGCTGGCGGTAAACCCATCTCGTCCCCAGCTCGACCAGGGAACTAAGTCCCTATTTGAGGAAGAACTAGCTAAACACATATCTGAGTTTGACAGCTGCGCTCACCCTGAAGAAGCCTGGAAGAATATTCAGTCAGCCATAGATACAGCTGTAAAAGCTGTGAAGGAAGTGACATCTCTTATCGATGGTGATTGGTACTGGTTGTTGTTGTTGGTTAGTTATCTTTATCACTTTCGCCTTCACTATGTTCACCTGGAGTTCTGTCTTTCCTGCTTCTTCAGCCAACTTGTTGTTTTTCATCTACAAGTCTGTGTGACATTAAACATAAATTATCCACGAAATCTAGATCTTCTAGAATCTTCCCATCGGTCCAACGTATTCCTGTCTTCTGACTCCCCATAGTCTGGTGCATAATCCAGTCTACCACATTTAAGAATATCATCCGGTGATAAAAGGCAGCCAGCTTGTCTTACTCCTGTATTCACTTTGAACGCTTCTCTGAGTTTTCCGTTGTGGACCACTTAGTGGATATCACACAACTAAGAGACTCAAATAGCCAGCCTATTACTGTACAAAGTATGAGTTATTTTGTGAAGAAGGCATTATACAGTTAAGCACCATGGGAGGCTTACTGTATATCTGATGGATACAGCAGCAACCTTGTTATAATGCCACACTCCATACTTATACTGCTGAGTTTTGATTAACTGAAGTAGAGAAGTGACTAATTAAGCAGCAATTTGGTCATATCAAGACGCAGTAGACACTCACGAAACTCTTCGCAATTGGATATAAATGTACAACAAAAGATTAGGATTTTAGTTGACGAAAAGGCTTTTAGGCAACCTTCTAAAGTCAGTAGTGGTAAGTGTGATCATCATATCTACTTTCATCATGAATGAATAAAACTCGCCTCTCCCGTTGCCCAAAAAAGATATAACTTCTTGAAATATTCGTATAATTCATCGACATGATTAGATAACAACAGAATGCTAACCAAAGTCATACCTTTTAAAGTCAATAAGTAAAATATGACGCTAATAAGGTTTTCCATTGACAACATCTAACATAGAAGTCATGGTACTTCTGTCGAGTGTGACCGACTAAAAGAAAATTTTATGTGAGAAATAGCCTAAATCCATTTCGTCTAACTCTCATACACCCTCTCTATTCACAACTGTCCTCTTGCATTGCACCAGGTAGGACTAGCACAACCTAAGTAAAAAAGAAACTCAACGATACCCTATTTGGCCTACATTCTATGTGATAGAGACTGTTAGGCGTGGAACTTACAACTTATTATGTAATTAACAAAGACAATGGCTCTTTTATCTTCTCCTGTTTGTAACTTATGGTGACACTATTTCAATTATCTTGTAATTTTAGTTACTGACATTACAATTATCATTTTACACTTTACGCACATTTTGACTTAATCGTTACTGCTAATACCAAAAAGTTGCTATTATCAACTTTGGTTACACCTATGCCCTGTAATGATTTTTATTGCTTTTGAATAAATTAGAAACAATATTTTAGGAAGTGCTAAGAATTCTACGCTGTATCGTAAGTACTGCTTTGCAGTAAAGCAAATTATTATTATTATCATCATTATTACATAACACAAGAGTAATAAAACTCGCACTACTAGAAATGACAACAAGTTCAATTATAAATGTTGTGAAATACACATTGAATTTAGAAAGAACTAACCCATTTTTTTCTAATTCATTCTTTAATGAAAGAGATTCATCAAGTGTAAGTGAGCTCAATTGTTGTATGATTGCTTTAGCATCTCCACGGAACACTTTGCCAAGTTCACCTTTGTTAGGCACACATTCACATATTTGTACAGTTTGCTAAGGTTGAATAAATAAATAAATACAACATAAAGTCATGCTTAACTATTATTTATCACAAAAATAATATCGACAGAAATCAGACAACAACAAAAATTCCAAAGTTTGCATCAACGGTGCACTAAAAAGGGTTTTCATAAGGGAGACAAGACTGTCGAGTTGCAAAGAGAATTCTAAATGAAATAATTGAGTCTTTCAATGAGAAATTACACGGAATGAAACTTCAGGTACACAGTGAGTCACAGCTTATCTCAATGTAATATTTACTAGTCAGATTAGAGCGTTACTATAATATTTTTATATCAGTTACAGTACCACCTACTCAGCGATAATCTGGAGTACGATTCACTGTGCACAATTGTAACAAAAAAACTTGGTGTTAACTGGATGAACATGTACAATAGGAATGATTTAACAATCATTCAGAATTTATGAAGAATATCCACCACGACTGAAACTAAGGTAAGTCAAAGACTATATAAATTATAACTAGCTTGATACGAACATAGACAATAATTCGTAACTGAGACATTATCATCTAACGAACAAACCGACCCGGTATGAGAGTATACTAAAAATATACTCCATCACGTTAACCAAGTCCTACCTATTGCAATAACGAATTAGAGATTGATTTTAAAAAATTTGAACCATCATATCAAGGATATTGGACAGACAAGAATTTAAAGTGTGTGTAGATACTTTGGACAAAATTCTAAGAAATGTTAAGAATTAACAATTACTCGCATGAATTAGAGCTAACGACAATGTGAATTTTCATGTTATATAACTATTTGATTCAAGTTACAGTGTGAGTAACTAATGTAGCTACTTTTGAATAACCCTATGCTTCATCCTGAGTATTCAGGTAACGATTTCAACCCCCTGCATAGCTACATATACCTCCCCAGACTAGTGTTTAAGCCTGTAGTTGCAATGAATTGTAATTATTCTTTCTCTATTCATTATTATTTACACTAGTTTTTCTAGTAATCTATTCGTTAACGTTCTTTCTTTTTCTGTATTGCACCAAAAGGATGGCCAGAAAAGATCAGCAACAAGGGATCTCTGGGAGCGAACCAACCAGGAACCGATTGTGAAACAAATAAGCAGGAAGAAATGGAGATGGATTGGCCATACTCTGAGGAAACCATCAAGTGACATCACTAGACAAGCTATTGCTCGAGTGGAACCCGAAAGGGAAGCTGCGAGTTGGTCGTCAGTGCAAGGGTGACTTGGAGGAGGTCATGTGAAGAGGAGATGAAAGCATGTGGGCAGACTTGGAGCCAGGTGGAAACTCTAGCAGAGAACCGAACGCAATGGAGACGCACGGCTGAAGCCCTATGTTCCTCTAGGAATTAAAGGAAACAATAATAATAAATAATTGCACCAAAAGACTTGATATGTTATTAGAGAAGGCAATCTATTAATAACTAGTGAGATGTATTGTACCATCCGACCGACTAGATGAGCGAAAATGAGGCTAATTGGCTGCACCTAATCACTTCCTAAAACTGTTCGACAGACTGATTGTTGATGTCAACCTTGAAATTTCAGCCTACCTTATTTAGCTTTGAAAATGAAACAAAAAAGGTCAAAATTTATGTGACAAAAAGAAAAATATTAGGTAAAATAAATTTATACTTACAGGTTCATCTAATCGTTTTTCAGCTACTAAACGAGTACCTGTTGCCTTGCTATGTTGATTTAAATCATAACAACTTCTGTCAGCACAACCAACACATTCAATCCAACCATAACTTGTTTGACATTCAGCATCCCAACAATCACAGGCATAATGAGCCATCTCATTTGATAAATGCTGTCGAAAACGTAGGCGTTTTGAATCTACTCCAATGTGGATTAAGAATAAATGTATACGCGCCATAAAGTAGCCTAACGTTTGGTTCGCAACAATACCCTACAAATTAAAGGGTAAAACACAATAGAAACAAAATATTTATCTATATTATATAAGATAACACAGGAGGAAACATTTTATATTTGAAGGTAGTCAACTAGATGTATAAAACCTGTATGTCTCTTAAATCAACACTCTAAAAATCTCACCTGAATAGTTTCATTTCCCAGTGTCAATCTAAAGTCAAAATTTTACGTGATTGATGTAACCATCGAACAATTCAGGCGGTAACCTGTTTCTCACCTAACTAGCCTAATGATTATGACTCATCCACTTCCGACACACGCTTTGTGTGCGTCGGTGGCACAGTGGTTAGGACTCTCGTCGACCATGCACATGGTCCGGGGTTCGACCCCCTGCCGACGCACACCTGATATCAATGGTCGGCCTGCAAAATTTGGGCTACCAATATCACGTGCTTAAAATCCCATACCTTTACCAAAAATACTGTGTGGAATCAAGCTATAATCAAAAAAAAAAAAATAATAATAATAAACTATAATCGACATTACGACGAGAAAATTATGGTGTCGCACTTTAGTAACTGGCTATCTTCCACAGATTAGCTAGTAACATATTATATGTATGAGAGCTATAGTTAAGCTTCCATAGGCGAAATATACCCCTTATTTGAAGTCGGTGAAGATATGGCGCATTGGCTTAAGCACTCGACTTTCAGTCCCGGGTCCGAGTCCTCCCTTACCTACTTCCACCTGAGCAATTGTCTGTCTGTTTTCAACATAGTACTTTGCACCAATATGCAGCACACAAAGCAAGAGAAAGTAGGTGAAATACAAAAGACAGTAAACAGGGATATGAGACAAAAGGAATAGTAATAACGAAGAACAATATAGTTTCACTGGAAATTATAAGTCACAAGGAGTGGATGCATCTGCGCCATTGACAACGATTTAGAGCCATATCACCGATTGTCTCCAGCGATTGGTTTTTACCGAATCGAGGACCCCAACCAGGAAGTCTGCAGCTTCCTACGTGGCTTAGACTAACTGTTGTAGATTTCGTTTGACCGTCGCTAGCTCTTTCCCAACCTGACCCTATGTCAGCTAACATTGCCCGTCGAGGAAGGCGAGTAATTGTGGATTTTACAAGTAGTAATAAATATTAAAAGTGATGAAACAAAAAATATGAAAATTATTTACAAAATTAGCGTACCTTGTCAACTGCTTCTCCGATAGTGACTGTTCTAGGCCCTTCACCGCTCATTTGATCACATGCTGAATATAATAACATTTTTGTATCCCTCACCTCTTCAAACTTGGGATGACTTTTATCAGTAGGATCCACAAAGTATTCAATTTCAGCCATGGTAAATTCACGCACACGAATCAATCCTGAACGTGGACTAATTTCGTTTCGAAAGGCTGAGCCAATCTGTGCAGCTCCAAAAGGAAGACGACCTTGGTTAAAATGCAACAGCCTTTGAAAATTAACGAATATCCCCTGAGCAGTCTCCGGACGAAGATAACTAGATAATAAAAGTTAATTAATCATAAGCATGATTAATGGTTTAGAATTATTTTTGTGATCTGAAAGCAGGGTAACCTTATACGATTAATCTTGATGGGTTGTCTTTCATATTTTTTAAAAGATTTTACAGAGACTAATTGACTGACTTTTAACATAGAACTCAGCAGAGAAGTGCAGCAGTTCAGGTCACCACACTATATACAGCACACAAAGGTATATAAAAGTTTCAAGAGAACTATAATGAGCGGAAATGCCCGGAAGAAACAATAGGGAGAAGGAAACAAAAATAACAGTTTAGTGAGTATGGAAAACATCAAAGAGTGAATGCATCCGCCTCACTGAGAACGATTTTGAGCCATTTCATCAAAAGTTTCAAGCCACTGGTTCCGAGCATCCAGAGGACCCCAACTAGACAGTCTACACCTACCTACTTGGCTCAAACTAAATGTCAAAGACTTCATGGACTGATGCCAGTTTTTTATGCGCAACACGTGTCTTAGCTATCTCAATCAATTCACCTTCACAAACTCATTGACTGACTTATCATCTTTACCTAACGCTTTACGCGTAACCTCAGTATTACTCGCTACATTATACCATTTAACACGGGAGGTAGGGTGCAAACATCTGTGGTCAAAGACAACTAACCTTTACATATCTTCCATTTTCAGTGGCTATATCTCACAACCCTGTGCGTCGGTGGCACAGCGGTAGAGTGCTCGCCAACCACGCATGTGGTTCGGAGTCCGATCTCCGGTCGACGCACTCCTTTACCTCGGTGAGCCAGTAATAAGACTGGTAAAGAAGGAAGGTTGGGCATGAGGCTAGCAACCCCATCCAGTAAAACTAATCACCATTGCTACAGAAACTTCAAGCCTCTAGCTTGAAACCCCATGTTCCACTGGGAACGTAAAGGGAAAAAATGTCTCACAACCATAAAGGAGGACAGAACGAACTGCTGTACAGTATATACGTAATTTTGATCGATAGCCAGATATCACATCTACGCCGGAGATGACGTAATTTGGCAAATGACACACGAGCCTTTCTTATTCGTAATGCGATTTTGTTACTGATTAGTCAATTAAGGAAGTGGTCAACATGCTCTACCAACTCACCGCCTACCTTTAAGCTAGGAGTCAGTGCAGTCGTCCTGCAGTACCATCCTACATTTGACAAGAGTAAATCGCATACCAAACATTCGAAAATGTTTCGCAGAAACAGTTATTTTAGTGTTGCTTTTTTTCTACTTTATAAGCTTCGTACATATAACTTAATTGCTGTTGTATGACTGATCTCTAAAAAAGCAATCAGTTAGACAGCCACGTTATCTAGTTTCTAGCCTGGCATTTTTTGAAAATTTGTAGTCTGTCGTATATTATGAACTTCCTGTTTACATATTTGTTTGAACTCATTTACGATAAGTTAAATTCACTTTCATGGGATATTTAGTAGTAGGATGTACGAGAAGTAAAAGCCACAAGAATATGGTTAGTAATGTTTATCGTTAGCAGATCAAATATGAGATTTCATTTTAAGTCTACATTTGTCTGCTAAGACAGTAACAATCCAGTTGATCGATTTAGATACTGAATTAGTAACTGAGCCTACTTTTCTTTAGGATGATAAGTTCCACTATCTGATTCTGTGCATTGATATATGGAAACTTCTACATAATGGGGATTTGTAGCTCAGGTGGGTTGTGTTTCTTAAGCAAAGTGAACTTAAATTTTGTGAGTGATGTGGTTAATTCATATGACTTCGACTTACTAGCAAATTGATTTGCTGGTTAGGCATTTGATTTGACTGCTGTAATCCAGGTGACTGGGGTCGAAAACCAAATCTATCGTGCGGGACACGGAGAGTAACTTGGTTGGAAGTGTAGTATATTCGTCTCTCACTTAGAAATACGATTATTTGAGAATTCTAAATGAGAGTTCTGGTGGATATTATGACTTTGAAGCACTGTATATGCACTCGCTATCTTATGCGAACTAAATAAACTATTTTATATGGTCTTTTAAAATTTGAAAATTCACGTTTTTATATTAAGGAAGTTTTCAGTCAATTTACAAGAAACTGGTCTAGTAAGTTCAGTATCAGCTGCATATAAAGGCCTATAACTAAGTAGGATTATCGCCCTATTAACCTTAAAATTGTTAGTACAGTTTGTTCTAGCACCTCCTTCAATACGATTAGTCACAGTCATCTTGAAACAGAAATTACTTGAGCTAGGCATGTTATTCAAATCCACACGACCAGGCTTTTCAGTAGTGCTGCAGCTCTCGTTAGATTGTTTTGCATGTTTTACTGCCGGATTAGAAGACTGACAGTAGAATTCGATTGGTCTTGAAGTTGGAAACATTCACAGTGTATTTTGTCTTATAGGGAGAACGATGTCTTACCAAGCTAGCAGCACCAGGTTTTACTGGTGTTAGCCTGAAACATCATTCTCTCACGAAAAAATACACTGTAAATGTTTCTAACTCTAAGACTAAGGTTTTTAGTTTTCACCACTGACGCACCTTAGAATACAGTTACTCGTCTCAGGAACTGTGATAATTTAATCGTTGCTTGATTCTCCTTTCAACAAAAGTGGAAACTGGATCTAGCCACAATTTAGCGCTAAAGATTGAACAAGTCAGAATCCCACTTTCGTTTCCGTTTATGTCTATTTTATACCCCTATTTCATCTTGGGTAATGTAGTGAAACAAGAAGCTGTAATTGTGCTGAAATGTTGGCGAATGATTATGCAGACTATTATATCAGTGTTCAAGATGCACATCTAAAAAAGTCTGTCATTTAAAGGTTATGGTCAACCATAAATAATAATACAACAAACTCCTGAGATCGGTCCTAACCTTACTAGCTATTCTTAGTGCATAATAAAAGTTACATGCAAATAACTTACCCTTTACATTGACCTGTAGGACCAATCATAGTGGAAAACATTAGATTAAATTCCTGAGGTTCGGTTAAGTCATTTCCTGTAGTCGGTGACTTCATGTCGAAACGACGAATAATTTTGTTTAGCTCATCGGCTCCATAATTATCCAACTAAAATGCAAACATATCATATATATAAGATATATATATCATATATAAGACCATATTTAAGAATGTTTTACAAGACAAGACTGTATGATTATTATCGCAAACTGCATGCCGACAACTGAATTTGCTGTGATTCACAGAAAAACTAACAAAATAACTCTGTGCGTGTATAACTCATACATAAACAGAAAATTTAAGGTGGGAAATAAGCTGTATGTAATAAACTAGACGTCAGATCGTTTATCCTATGGGTAAAAGTCGTCTACGTGTGCATTAGCATTACTGTCAGAAGGAAATTCTTCATTTAAAGATATCGCAGATAATTACGTCATATATAGTGCTTGACTTTCCAGACGTGAGTGCGGGAAAAAGTTTATCGCATATTTTGAATGTTAGAACTGCGAATCAAGATGACTGGGTCACGCTGAGATCAAACCCTTCCATAGAAAGTAATTAAAATCAAAAGCTAGTGTTGACATAGACAAAGACAAAAACAAGACAATGTGATAACGAGACACGGTATTATAACTAATATAACTAGGTGAGAACACAACTACATTATCATTATTGATTCTTAGTTATATCACTTGCAGTTCCTAGCCGTCAGTCAAACGTCTTAGTTATACTAATAATTCACAAGTTGTATTAACCACTATAGGTGGACTGCTGTCGACAACACGACTTCCCACTATTTTAAAAGAAATATGGATCAACGAGGACTTTCATTTACGAACGTTCTGCTTGTCAAACTAATTTTACCGAGTGGCAGTCATATTAGGACTTCTAAGTCATACGAACTGCTCATATGAATTCATCTCTAATCACAAATATTAGGAGAAAGTTGGTACCTCCGATAAACACTATCAAGTGACTACGAAATATATAAACTCTGCTTGCAACACCGTAGCTATTACCTGAATCAGCATTTGATCAATTTCCTGTTTTTCATTCTCGGGAGTCTTCTTGTTACTCTTTTTGGCTTCAAGTGCTGCCTTCACTAAGTGGTCAGCACGGAAACAGTCACCCGTTTTGACGTCTTTAACCATTAAGTCCGTGAAGCGATCGACGTGTCCAGAGGCTTGTAGGACTGGCTCCGGTGTCAGCATTGAACAATCTACTTCTAGCAAATGATCTTCCAAGATAAAGAACTGTCGCCAGGCAGATAGTAAGTTAGCTTTCATTGCGCAACCCATTGGGCCATAGTCGTAGAGACCTTGTACACCTGAAAACATTTTTAAAAAAATGAAAATGTAGATGAATCCAAGAAATGTAACTTGGAATGTAGTGTGAATTATTTTACTTGAGTTCTGAACAGTGTAGTACATGCAAGACAGGCTTTGAAAGTTCCCACTTACCTCCATAAATTGAAAACGACTGATCATAAAAGAACTTTTGTTTCAGAAGGTCTTCTAGTTTAGCACGGTCGAATAAGGGATCTTTTGGAGACAATTCAATTTCCTACAACATGTAAGAATTACTAAAGGTCAAACCTTATCATCCAGAGCCTTTTTATAAGATTTCAAAATTGAAATAGTCTCTTTCAGTACACTATCAGGTGCATTTTCTTCTTTGAGTCGTTTCACAAGGTCACCCTAGTGGAATGACACTGAGCCAAAGACACTCACCTGCTCCCGAATTTTTGCGCGCAGAGAATCAATATCATTTTGCCCATTTAGGACGCTCATATTCTTCGCTAAACTTGGTGAAGACAGGCTAGATGTGAATCTTTGAGGAAGTAGTGCTGACTTGTTACTAGCGGAACTAAATACTACTTTTTGAGAAGTGCGCCAAAGAGACGCTAACTTCATGCAGAATCTGTGACGTATTGCTTGTACAGACCACACTCACAAACATTTTTTCACGAAAAATAAATGCAAATGAATTCAAAAAGTTTTAATTTCAATAAAATATATCGGCAAATAATCACTAAATAACATATTCAAGGTCGCTGCCATACTCAAGCCTGAGACATCAAGTAATTCAGATAACAATTTTTTGTTGGACTTTCAAGGCTTAGGACTTATAGTAATTCCCTTCTACTAAGCATTTACTCTTGCTTGTCCTCAACTTAGGCAAGTTAGTCAAATAGGTGTACATAATTTCATGTCTGCATGGCCAAAAGACTGCAGTGGAATCAGTATTTTGCGGCTACATAATTGGTCATTGGTTTTCTAACTCTCCAGCTCTGTCGTCTGAGTTGTTCCAACTCGGCGTAATTAGAGAGGGAGGTGAATCAGGTCCATATTTATGTGTCAGAATGCTGCAGCTGTAAATACACCGGCGGATTATCGTCCTAATGGCTCATAAAGTTCATGCGTTCAGTGCTGAAATTCACCGTTTTAATGTGCTTCTTAGACTGGTGACACTCATTTAAACACCTTCACAATTCAGTAAGCTGTTCTGCTACATTCAATTTTTCGTGAACTATCCCTAATCAATGCATTTTACTCGGTTCAAGGTTGGTTTGCGTTGATCGTCTCATACACAGCGGATCTACTAGTATAACGAAAGAGTGGCTTTATTGCATATCCCCGATAATTGTAGCGTTCGTTGCTATGTTATTTTAGTAACGAGCTATGTTTTTTATATGCTTTCTAAATTAAATTTTGCATTGAGAACATTTCTGACTCACATAATATCGGCGGCATAATGTACTTAAACCGCGTCACATTTGCAGCACTTGTATCAGGAAATGTCGCTTTATACTGATATCTGCGCAATGTGGTGGATTAAATAAGGTAGGAATTTCAAAATTTAAACATGTATTTATGAATTTCCATGGAATCCTACTGGTATATTCGACCTGTTTACACAGATGCTATTGTCTTAATTGGTTTGGTAGTTATTGGTATTCATAGTCTAATTTCAGCATTAATTTCAGTTTTCATTTGCTCACAACAATCAGCTTTTCATTTTAAGACAAAATGCATTAGCACTATGGTCACAATATATATCACTATTATGGACTTGTTTCAAGTGGCCTTTACTTTGAGGGAAGATTTAACTGATACAATCCGATTTCATAGACATAAATCAGGCTTACACGTGAAAGAAATGTATTTTTTTCGATTACAGCTTGATTCCACACCGTATTTTTGGTGCAGGTATGAAATTTTCAGAATGTGATATCAGTAGCCCAAATTTTGCAGGCCGACCATAGATATCAGGTGTGCGTCGGCAGGGGATCGAACCCCGGACCATGTGCATGGTCGGCGAGAGTCCTAACCACTGTGCCTCCGACGCACTACCTTATTTGGAATAAAGACAAGTTCTTTAGAAGGTGAGCAACACATTATTTTTCAGTTTATTCATATAAATACTATTGCGCATCGAGTTGCATTGCATTTCTACACGAAGCAAGAGATTATGAATGCCTTGTCCTGTCTTCTGCATAAGAAAGTTACTAACCGAGGAATCACTTCACAAGACTCTATATTAAGTTCAGTAGGGACAAATAGAAGTTTTTCCACTTCACTGTTATGAGTTTTTTGTGAACTGTGTAGGCTTTTACAGTAATACATTTAGCAAGGATACTTCATTTTGAAATCAAAAGTGTAAATGTTTTACTAAATCTTATTCACTTCCTGTACAAATTTTATGCTTTTCAAGTGGTGATTTAACAACTGCTGAATGTTGCAACTGAGCTAAAATTATAACTTGTAATTCCGAGAATTGTTGTCATTTTCATTGGCAGCACTTCACAATCTATAGAGTTCGCACAATCACAATGCCCATTTCTCACTTTACTGAGGAAACACTAGCGGGGTTTTTGAAAAGGCAGTACGTCATTTTGTGAATTGCATGAATTCCACAGATTGCATTCACTTAGTACTGAAACTAAACTATGAGGGGATTTATTTTACCAGGGAGGATGTAATACAAGGCTCATTTCTACAACTGTCGTCCTTATTTTGGTTCAATTTCATTATAAATGTATTAATAGAATGGTATGTCATTGACTTTAGGGACTTACCAGGAAACAGTCTCGTCAACTTAGAATATGCTGATGATATTGTCCACCTAGGTTGTGGGAAGTGACCAGTCAAGCTGGGAGACATGAACAGACCACTGGTTTTTGATCGTGGATGTAGTGCCCTATCCCTTGTGTTAAGTACTATGTGGTGAGTAATATGGGTTAAACGTATAGTGTTGGGTAGAGATGTGACTCCAAATCGTTCTCAATGACACAGATGCATTCACTCTGTGTAATATCATGTATCCAATCAACCCTTATATCACTATCCGTTCTCCCTCAGATTTATGCTCAAAAGAGCTCCATTTGAATTCTTTTTCTTTACCTTTGTGTGCTACATGGAATGTGGCATCATGATCAGGTGCACTTCTGTGCAAGCTTCTACGTTGAAAGTCAGCCAGTCAGAATGACTTGTAGTCTAGGTACAACGAAGTGTTAAAAATTGGATAATAATCACCGAAATGCCAGTAAGTGATAATCATATTTCTTCATTTGGTCTTTGTCTAACTGAAAAAAGAGTTATCTTACAATAATTCCTCCTCTCACCCGAGATAACTCTCACGCTCTGTCTCGTTATATCTCATGAGTTATTTTATTTTATGCCGTAGCTCAAACGCGAAGTCAAAACACATCTGACGAAATATGTTTTGCTTATTACCGACTAAATATAATATTTTTCAAGTATGGAATGTAACAAATCGAACTGTTGCACTTCTGTTCTGAGTTCTATGTTAAAACTCAGTCAGTCAGCTTTGTCACTGCCGCTGCCTAGTGTCACAACCCACTCCAGTGTTAATTGGCTTAAACAATTATTAATGCCGTTTCCTAAGTACTCTATGCATTTCCCAATTCCTTAAATTTTCCAGATGAAGTGCACCAAAAATAAACCATGAACCAAAAGTCAGAGAAATCATACAGTTTTTCAGCAACCTGTTATGTTATGTTATCCTCCGCATTATATGTACGAGCTAATATTTATGCCCTGTCTAGAAATGCACAGGATATTCTACCGATAGTATTAATATTTTTGGTGGAGTATGATGCTACCCATACATTTCTTGGATTAAGCACATCCATACATGGTGAAAAAGTAGGTGTAGGATTCAGATGTAGGAGGGCCTTATCATATTTGAGGAGTCTGGCAACTGAGTGGATGGGTATTCGGAATGTGTTTGTGTAGCACCAATTGGCTTGGAAATTATTCCAAATAACGGAAAATTTGAACGACGATTCAGTCCGATTGTAACTATGGCGATGTTCTGTAGCAGCCGGGTTGTTATAATTTCTAGGGTTGTAAATGATTTCTGGGGTATATTTAGCCACTGGCCTGGAAAAGTGCGAAAATGACAAAAAGTTTTTATATTTTACTTCTCAAACGCGGCACTTTCAACGTTTGCATTGCGTTTTAGCATGATCCATTATATATAATCTATTTCGGTTGTGAAACTTGCACAAGTGTTTCTCGCCCAGTTCCATACCTGTGGCCAATAACTATTTAGCTAGTTAGTTATGGTTAGTCATATAAAAAGGCCACGAACTCAGCCACCTGTTAACTTGACGACCTATGGCACATGGCTGTTTGATGCAGCAAGCAACAAACCTCCCACAAAATATTGTAGTGAGTAACACACCTTGCCAATACGCCACAAGCGTCGAGCTGATTTGTCGCTACCATCTAACGCAGCTAGAACTCACAGAAGAAATATACTGACAACTAGTAGTAGGATCGCTTCTACAAACTCACCAGCTGGTCCTGACGTAGATCCCCTCACTACACCCTGTGTGCGCATCAATAAATTTTAGACACCGAATTCAACCCTAACACTTACTTCAGAAATAGAACGACTAAAGCTGTCCGTGTGAGATCTGAAGATAGGGATGCGGTTGTGCCAAAAGGAGGAGGTGGTAACTCGATAGAGATATGTGTATGTGGTATTGACACCGCTTATAATACAGGAACATCCTGCCACGCAGAACCAATGGATGCCGAACCACACTTGAACCTGATTAATGAGCTTAAATACTTTAAACATTATTTCAACTCTCAAATTTATATAATCCTTAACAATGTTAGATCTACCCTAAACAAACTACCGATACTCAGGGCATATACACTGGAATGTAAACCCGCCATAATTATTGTCACTGAATCTTGGTATCACTCCAATATACCAGGCGAAGAGATAAGCATCGATGGGTGCACACGCTTTCGATGTGACAGGAACAGTGGCAAGGGAGGAGGCTGCCTAATGTACTTCCTGAACACACTTATTGTATTGCGGCGAGAAAATAGGGAACTCAACGACATGCAAGACACTATAGGTCAACGTGTACTTCAAAAGTGCTACATTACTAATCGGATGTATCTAAAGAGCACCAGGTACCTCTAATGATTACGAGATTCAACTCATTAATGCAACGGATCAGGTATCCACTCTTCCATGCAAGCATAAGATTATATTTGAAGACCTCAAACAACTGGAAACCAACTGGGCCCAGCTAAATATGTCAAGCTGTTGGGTACACTGGACATTTTCGGCTGGAAACAAACTGTCACTATCCCTACAAGAGGTAACAACGTACTAGGCTTATAATTCTGCCAAAATACAAGTCCCCCACTCAATTTTAGCGGGTTCTAAGTTTTCATGTAGCGCCCACAAAACAGTGCTGTGTGCACTGTCATTTCCAGTGAGTATCAATGCGGCTCATACCTCCACTTCACATCAAATAACATATAGGAACTGTAGTGAGGCAAACTGGGCTTTCGTAGAATTTATGCTTAGCTCCTCTGAATGGGGTAAATACTTCACTGGTGACCTCTCGAGAGCTCTGAGCATCTTCTACCGGAACTCAAACACATGCTTAGATGCTACCATTCCACTCTAGACACTAATAGTTTCCCTATATAGAAAGTCACTCATAAAACCAAAG